CCTGAATGGATGCTCCTTTTCCACAAAAATCATTTTGACCTAGAATTTCAACAATCCTTCCAACTGTCGATCTCTTTCTGGTTTCTCATTCATAATTGTATCCTTGTAAAAGTCAGTAAGGGCATTTTATACAACACATATTCTCTATTTAATGCCCTTTCTCAATTCCTTTCTGAAGTTGTGTTTTTTTTGTTTTCTCGAGGTTTTTGACAGAGTTGGGCAAAGGTTGCCAAAACCTTGAGAAAACAAAAAAACTGCAGACCCATGTCTGAAGGCTTTGAGGAGATGCCGCATGGGGTCTGCAGTTTTTTTTGTGTTTTGTTGGTTTTCTCGAGGTTTTTGTCACTTGCTATGACTTGATATTCAGCAGATGGTCACAGATGCACTGTTTTTGCGCACGCTGGTGGTAACTTAACCTGTTCTGAAAAATAATGGATATATAATATTATATATATAGTATATTTCTGGCATATCCAGTTGGTAAGGATAAGCAATCACCAATACATGTATCTACATACACACATAGCGATAGGTTGTACTGGAACGTCTGGAATATTCTGTTGGCGAAGGTGAACATGCTTGTGGATTGACCCTTAAAGAAGAGCACTTTTCAGAGGAAAAAGTGTGCTGTTCCACCACAAGTGATGCAGCAACTCAAGAAAGACAGTTGAGAAAGGTCGGCAAGCCAGTGGTGAAGAACGCTTGCCCCTCTAACCACCGGCGCTACCTTGCTGATGGCGGCGGTACTGAACTGTATGCCAGACCTACTTTCGAACCTCACATTGTGCCGGGCGAGACAGTTCGATGAAAGTCAGCTTCCTATATCTGGGGGCTGGTGTCAAGCTCGGACGGAAATGTGCCCTGGGTATCTGTCTGACGGGGCAAAAGGTTTTCTTTTTCGGGTGGGATCGATTGGGATATTAGGATTCCATACCCATCCTGACATCTGAGGACCAGTGGAAACCATCGCTCGCGAAACCAAAACCAGTGGTTCATGGTTTTGAATCAATAGGGATCACTATGATCCATTGTATGAACCCCTTCTGACCACCGATTTGCAAGCATGTGCGTGATTGGTTTTCCCAGAATTCTTTGTATACCCTACAATTCTTATTTTTTTTCATTGGATGACCAACCACAAAATGTCGGTTCCCGATCCGTTTGAAAGCTACTTGGGGGTGCAGTAGGGGTTATTACTGGGTACAACCTCGGTGATTCTAAGCCTTATAAGTTGGGAGGTTCCCCTCCGGTCATCTTCACATCCTGGGATTTTTGAAAATCATAACGGTAACCATGGGAATTCATGAGATTACCGGTACATTGTCATGGAAATAAGGGTCAACTTTTTTATTAACGGTACATAATGTCAACCCTGGAGTAATAAACCCCAAACGGCTGTTTAATTGGGAGGGTACCATAAAGTATCAGATGAAATGACTATTGGAGGAGTACCCCCCTAATTTTCATAAACTATGGTTTATTAATCCTGGATTTACATTATCTCTATCCCAACATTCCCATGTTTTGCGAACGAAAGCTCCATGGCTCCGTGGATCCAGGAGCAATCCAAAGGAGGCCAGGCCATGAGAAGTTCCTGGGGTTCCTATGTGAAGAACTGGGTCAGGGGGTTCCAGCATTCTCCGAATGTTGATGGTTTAATATGAATTGATATGCTTCAATACGGCTTCATGGTCTTTTTTTATATATGGTTTAGGGACAATGATGGGGTCATTGATCGGATATTATTGGATGCTTTGATGGTTTGGATGTGGTTTAAAAAGTTCCATCATCCTGCGATTCTGTGTTTTTTGGGACTTTGGTGTCTCCAATATTTCCATCTCACCAGATATTGATAGATTGGTTGAAAGATATCTTCGATGAATAGTGATAGATATAGATATGTCCATCTCATGGTGATAGATGGTCTACCTATTAATCGCATGGTGATTTTCCATGCCAAACTGTTAGTCATAACCAGATGATAAATCAATTGGATGAAACCCAATATCTCCTCATTGCCAGAATCCCTGGGCCCGACCTTCAGGGAAGGGCACCAAAGGTCACTCCTCCTATGGTACCTTGGTCCAAAAAAGCTGCGCTGCGATGATTTGAACAGTCTCCTGCATAATATCCTGCATTATCCTGCTGTTTTTGTTGATGTTTGCAAACCACTTTGACTTCTGATGTGAATCCAATATGTGTGTCCTTGATCAGGTCGGTTGCACCTCTATTTGTCTAAGCCTGACATCGTGTTTGATTTGGTTGTAGACCTGTGAGAGAAGTTGTGCTGTCCCTATTCTCACCCAGAGTTTGCTGCCAAAGCCAAAATCAAACACCATTCTGGGGAATTGTTGGTAATTGTTGGTGCATATCAGGTGTCAATATTTGTGTGGAACTCTTGTTCTTCACTTTTTCACATTCAAGTAAAGACTAATGCACATGGGTCACAAGATCTAAAAGTCAAATCATGTCAAAACTGTGTGATAAAACATGTCAAAACTGTGTTGAAACCATGAAACAAACACTAAAATAGATGGGATCTCTATATGAAAATGCCTCAAAAGTTATGAAATTACCACAATTACCATTTATGTCCATCACAATTTCCATATACCCTCTGGTTATTTAACAGTTTGCCATGGAAAATCACCATTTTTAATAGGTAAACCATCTGTAATGGGCCATTTTCCATGGCTATGTTAATCAACATCCCAAAATCCCAGCGATTTTTTGAAAACGCCGGGCTCCAAAAAAAAACCAAGGTGCCGAGCAGTTGTGACCCCAGGATTTCGGACAGGGATCCTTCCGCCAGGACGGAGATATAGAAAAAATATATATGTATATGATATATGTACATATATATATATATATATCTACGTATATGTAAAGATGTGGGGGTTGTTCTAAATTCTGGTTCCGTGGTTGACGTATAGGAACGTCTTGCGCCCTCCCTTGCGCCCTCTTGCGTGGCCTAGGTTTCAGAGCACATGTGTTTATAGGTAAGTATAATTCCATCATTGTCAATATGTTGCTGAACAATCAAATTGGTATATGGCACCACACGATCAGGAAATTCCATGTATACATGATCGTAGGACCAGATGGGTAGATTAGATGGATGGATGATGGATGGATGGAATGGAATGGGACGGTTTAGACTTATATATTTAGAAAAAATATTGATATAATATGTATATATGTATATATATATGCATTTGTATATGTATATATGTATATATATACATATACATATGTATATATGTATATATATATACATATACATATGTATATATGTATGTATATATATATACATATATATTATGTATATATATATTATGTATATATATATATGTTATGTATATATATACACAAATGTATGCATTTGTATGTGTATATATATATGTATGTATATATATACATACATTGGTCGATGAAATGGTAACTTAAGCATCCCCAACCGACTGGATAGGGTGGTTTAGTCCTTGAGTTTTTGGGATACTAAACGGAAAAGAAGCATTCAATACTTCGATGGTTGATAACAAAAGATTAAGCCATTTGTAGTCCCCTGGGTCTTACATTTTGATACCCAAATTGGTAAATGGTGAGCGACAAACATGCTGACATGGGGAGCTATCCCTCGGCCAAACTCTTCAGGTTTATTCCCAGCTGTAGAGATGGATTAAGTCCTATCACTCAAAAACCATCATTTATATATATGTTCATTTAATTTATAAAGCCATCTAACTGTCATCAGTCCGAAACTTCGCCTAGTTCGAGATACCAACAAAACCCGACTTCGCTAGGGCGATTTGGGATCAAGGCATTGCGCGCAAGCAGGGAAACGCAAGCCCGGAAAGAACCTGACATTTCGCAGGGGATATTCCATAGATATGTATACATGTACCAATAAATAATTATACATTTTTATATATATATATATGTACATATATATATTTGTACATATATATATACATACATATACATATAAATTTACATATACATATACATGTACAATTGGGGTATAACATGCAGAAGACCCAGGTACCATCTAGGATGCAACAGTGAGGTAAACCCAATGCCATTAGTGGGATGATGATGGGAGCCCAGGTTAAGGGCGCATGGTATCCCATGGCTTTTCAAAAGTCTATCGCGGTCCATGGACAGACCCCAGTTTGCCTTGGATGACATAGCCATATTGGAGGATAGTCACCATAGGGATAGCCATGTAACTTGACCAGTAACCAATGAAAAGCGTGGCACCAGCAAACAGTATACGGATATGTTGGTAAACTGACTGGCAAGTTGGGTAGGTTCTCATGGGTGATGCGACTGTTGCTTCAAGCGAGATAGTAGTACCCACATGTGGGTCAAACCAGAAGACAAGAACATGTCACATGCCAATTCCTACCAGCAATTTCGGTGGGTAATAAACCATGGTGAACTGACACCAATTTCCTTTGGTGGATGAACCTTGGTGAAGGGTCGGTGACTTTTTGGCATCTCAAGGAGCCTCTAAGATCCGCATCAAGGTGGTAACCGCAGTTGTCCCGTCAACTTTGGCATAGGCTTGGTTAGCACTCATATACGGAAACAAAAAGTGGGATGCAAGCGCCAAAAAACAGCGGAGCTTAATGCGGGACATGATTTTTTAATATTTGATATGTCAATATTTACCTGTGGGAAGTGGATGATTTGCTGCGAGGCAGGCCTCGAGGCAGGCCTCAAGGGCAAAATGACACAAGATTTGCTGTGCCCTTATTTTTTTCACCGTTCCCAGAAATCCTGTGCCCATGCAGATTCTAGACGTTTCCCTGTGTGGCAGGTCCATTTCCTTGAATTGTCCATGAGTTTTTGGCAGGATTCCAACAATCATAAGCCCATTTGCCAGTGGTAAGATGCATCTTGCAATGGCCCAGCGAGCCAGGGCACTACTTAGCCAACAAAAGCATACGACCAGCTATTCGGTTGCCTCTACGGAAGAAAAAGGACAGCAGGGCTGCATGGCAAAGGCGCGGCTGCACGGCGCACAGCTCACCCGTGCTGTGCCACCTGCCAGCCACCAAGGCTCATGCGACAACAAGGCAGCTTCCGGCAGGCGCATCGAGTGACACGGAGGCCATGGAGGGCTGCAGTTGAGGGCACAGGCCACGAGTCACAATGCTGGTGCCGGGCGCCACGGAAATTGCTTGTGCGTACAGACGTTTGTGAAATTGTGATCATTTTCTTGGCCGACTTTGTATTACAGTTTTCTGTCTATTTGTACTGGCCACGTCATCATTATAAAATTTCTTTGGGATTTTGGCCTACTGGTTTTCTACTTCTTTCACAGATATACACTTACGCAATCACCGCAGCTTACGCGGCCCGGGGGGCGCCAGTTCGACGCCATGTCGAAGCGCTCGCGGGAGGAGTCTAGGGGTCGAGATGCCAAGATGGCCAACCTCAGCACTCCTGCCGCTTGGACGGCTCAGAGAAACCCCTTGAAGAAATCTGAAACGGAACAGATTCGTGCCAAAAATGTTGGAAATTCAATCCAATGCTTGAGGTTTGAGGAATAAAAACTGAAGTTTGAGAATCTGGTTTTAGCTGGGGTTGGCGCCGCGGCTTCGAAACTGAAAGTGTTGGATGGTTTTCGAACCCAAGTTGGCATACCAATTTTGGCCACTCCTTGCACTTGTCATCACATCACTCAGCTGAAGTGTTGTTGAGGGTTGCTTGGCGTGCAGGTTGTTTGCTACAGTAGATGACCATCTATAGTATGGCATCTATTTGAAGTGATACCTGGGGGCGCAGTTCCACTTAGTAAAGCGGCTACATAACCATAGTTGCAGGGGCCCCATCTCCCAGCTCATGCGCAACCAAGGTGGCAGGACTGAGCACTCCAGTGGCTGGTATGCCAGAAGAAGCGACGCCCATCGGACGGCGAGCGTCCTTTGTTTCTTAGACAACGAATTGAAAATGCTGGGGGAAAGAGGCTGTGTGGACACTTGAATGTACTTGGTTGCAGTGTAAGCATCCAGACTTGGAATATCACCCATATATCTCGGTGAACCAAATGGATGGATGATTTTTTCCATCTGGAATGGGGATATTTACTGGCCAACTGGCCAGCCAAAAATTCGAATCATCCCCAAAAGGGGTGTAGTTCATCCAGCCACCCGGGGGAGCCGAGAAGACCACGGTGATTTCGTAGCGATTGTCCAAGGTGACGCCCCGTTTACGATAGCTAAGTTCACGCACAGTTCACTTGGTGAACGATGGTAACTATGCATGCTTATGGGGATTATAATTTGGTGAGCTATGGTAACTGTGGGGAATATAAGTCACTTGGTGAAGATAATTGTAGTTTATGTGTGTTGCTACTGTTACTGCAATTGTTTTTTGCATCAAGCCAGTGCACCCCGGTCAAAATTCCTGCACCAGGGATGTGTTTGCTTAAGAAACCTGTAAAATGTTGTATGTATTATTGGTGATGTTCATTTTTGTAGGATACTAGGATTAACTATGGGTAGTTGTTGTTTATCCCATGGAAATCACTGGCATATCGCTCATAACATGTTTTACGTTGCCCAAGACACTCCTCACATCTCACCAAGGATCAGGAGTTGAAAGTGTCGCGCCGCACTTCCAGTGACAAGGGACCTCCCAAGACGCCAAAAAGTAGCGGAGCCGCCAGCCCCGTGAATGACGCGCCCAAGGATTCCCGGTGGGTTGGACACATTTCCTGGTGGGAGATCGAGAAAACCCCCCTGGTATGTGGCAAGTGTGCATATATGCCATCGGCATTGCTAAGTTCCCATTCTGGTGAGTGAGACCTTATATTTGTTGTATCGTCAAGTATCCAGAAAACATCGGCCACGAAACAGTGTAAACAGATAAGTTAAAGTTTTATTACTCCGCTGCCAACATTCATGGAGATGTTTCCTAACATGGGGGTTACCCCTAAATCATCGAGTCATTAGACCATGACTTAGTTTTTGGTGATACTTATTTTAGCAAACCCCCATAGTTACTGTTTCAAGGTCTCAGCAGCCACAACATGCCAAATGGCCCATGTCTCCCGAGGAAGAGTTGAAAGTCTCGCGCCGCGCTTCCAGTGAGGGACTTCCCAAGGTGCCGAAGAGTAGCGGAGCCGCTAGCCCTGTGAGCGACACGCCCAAGGAGCCCAAGGATTCCCTAAGTGGCTTGGGGGGTTACACTTCCGATATTGAGAAAACCGGCTGAAGTTTTGGAAAGCATCAATCTGGGGATCAAAAATTAGGGGAAAAAAAGTGCCAAAATGGCAGGATATGGCAAGTTTAAGATGGAAAATGGTGTGCCAATCTTGCCAGATGTGGATGGAATGGGGTACCCCATTTGGAGATCCTGTTGGCCGGGATTCCCTTAGGAGACCTCCCTTGAGGTCCCATGCCATGCGTTTTCTGGGAATCAAAGATGCGGGTACTGTCTAGCGACGCCTAGATGTTCGAATTTCCGGCTGAGAGAAAATTCCCAGGATGTGCCATATACATAGACATTTACTGATGGGCTTTCCATCTAGCCATTTGTTTGATGAAGGGGCCCCCCAAAAAAGATATGGTTAATGGTGGACATGGACCAAATTCTCACCCGAGTGGTACGTGTTGGGGGTTTAGACATGCTTCGGCATGACTCCACGCATATGGATTCAGAGGTTCCACACAATTGAACATGATCAAGTTCACAGACCGTTTGCCTCTGCATATTGACGCAAATCAATTGTTTGCCAGTATCTAAAGTGGTTATTGGTCAAAATAATTGTCGCCCCAAAATGGATGGAATGGTGCTTTGGGCCACTGCCTGGCTTTGCACCAAACCACTGACATCACACATTTGACTGGTTTTTGAGCTCATCAACCAAACAAAATGGTGGGCTTGACACTCCCCTCATGATTTTCACGGTCCCATTCACTTCGAGGTGGACTGAGGTGTTTTAATGCTACCCTCTGGTAAACATACAAAAAACTATGGGAAATCACCATTTTTAATGGGTAAATCAACTATAAATGGGCCCTTTTCAATAGCTATGTTAGTTTACCGGAGTGTATGCGTTTTTCAGATTTGAAGCTTTACAATCACTTCGTGGGAAATTTCAGCAGGACAAACTGACGGAGTCCAGTGGCTTCTTCCTCTGCTGGCTGTGTCGACGGAAGTTCGACAGCAATGAGAAGTTTGATCTTCACGTTGCTGGGCAAAGATGGGGAAATCACGGCGATAGAATGGCGATAGAATGGTTAATAGTGGTTCAGGATGGTTAGTAGTTGTGGTTGTTAATAAAATGGTTAGTTTTGGTTAACAATGGTGATTAATGGTAAATAGTGCTTAATAGTGGTTGAGAATTGTTACTAATGGTGATTAATGGTGATTAATAAGGGAAATTAACAATTGAGATTAATGTGGTATACCCAATGATAAACTAACCCATCAACCAACCATTTGGGGATAGTTTTACATCATCCCAAATAGGGCTTTACTAAACAATGAACCTCTATTGGGGATGGTTTTGTTTTGGGTCTACCTGATGGGATATAAGCATGAAAAATATGGATTTCACCAACGGAAATGAATAAAGAATGGTGGTTTCCATGGGGATACAATGTGAATTTATAGCTAGGCAAGTCTGAGAGACTGTCCCAAATTTTCATGGCAAGGTTGGTTTTCTGGACATGGCTGGGAGCTTTAAAGGTGACCACGTTAGCAGCTGCGGGATGACAGCTTTTATTGGCTGCTCGATGCCACTCCTCCGTTCCACTCCGTTGCAGAGAATTCGGGATATCAAAAGTAGACATCACTCATCAGGATTCCAATTCTAAATTGGACTTCCTATTTGAAGAAACGTTTTCGGTCAACATGACGGATCGATGCTACTCCCCAGTCTTTCTGTCGCCCCCCATCCATTTGCACAGTGATCTCCAACATAAATGTAACAGGTAGCCTTCATCATTTAACAAACTTACTATCGCTCTGTGTAATTATAACGACCTCACTGCGACATCACTGGAACGACAATCAGAAAGGGGTAACTGCCCCGAAATAGCCGAACTTTTCAGGTTGGTGAATCATTGTAAATTCATATAATTTCTCCAGACCAACTAGACGACGGATGGCCCGAGAGCGTAGACGAGCAAAGTCTTCTGTTGCTAGTATGGAGACACTAAATTACAAGACAATATATTGAAGATGTATTATAGGCAGACGAGAAGAGTAGTTTCAAAACAATATATTACAAGTACAAGACAATAGTTTGCATCGTATCTTTCGTAAAGTTGCAGACAGACGCTTTTACACACAGAACTGTTTACAGACAGACGCTTTTATTATACACACAGAGGCTTTTACACACGGACGCTTTTACACACAGAGCTTTTACACACAGACGCTTTTACACACAGACGCAAATACACACAGAGACTTTTACACACAAACACGTTTACACACAGACGCTTTTACACACAGACACTTTTACACACCAACACTTTTACACAAATATTTTTACACACAGACGCTTTTACACACAGACGCTTTTACACACAGAGACTTTTACACACAGACGTTTTTACACACAGACGCTTTTACACACAGACGCTTTTACACACAGACGCTTTTACACACAAACACTTTTACACACAAACACTTTTACACACAGAGACTTTTACACACAGAAGCTTTTACACACAGACGCTTTTACATACAAACCCTTTTCCACACAAACTCTTTTACACACAAACACTTTTACACACAAACACTCTTACACACAGGAGCTTTTACACACAGACGCTTCTACAGACAGAGACTTTTACACACAAACGCTTTTACACACAGACGCTTTTACACAGAGACCCTTTTACATACAGACGCTTTTACACACAGACGCTTTTACACACAGACGCTTTTACACACAAACGCTTTTACACACAAACGCTTTTACACACAGAGACTTTTACACGCAGACGCTTTTACATCTTTTACATACAGAGACTTTTACACGCAGACGCTTTTACACACAGACGCTTTTACACACAGACGCTTTTACATTCAGACGCTTTTACACACAGACGCTTTTACACGCAGAAGCTTTTACACACAAACACTTTTACACACAGACGCTTTACACACAGACGCTTTTACACACAGACGCTTTTACATTCAGACGCTTTTACACACAGACGCTTTTACACACAGACTCCTTTACACACAAACGCTTTTACACACAGACGCTTTTACACACAGAAGCTTTTACACACAGACTCCTTTACACACAGAGGCTTTTACACACAGACGCTTTACACACAGACCCTTTTACATACAGACTCTTTTACACACAGACGCTTTTACACACAGATGCTTTTGCACACAGAGACTTTTACACACAGGCGCTTTTACACACAGACACTTTTACACACAGACGCTTTCACACACAGCCGCTTTGACACACAGACACTTTTACACACAGAAGCTTTTACACACAGACGCTTTTACACACAGAAGCTTTTAGACACAGACGCTTTTACACACAAACACTTTTACACACCAACACTTTTACACACAAATATTTTTACACACAGTCGCTTTTACATACAGACACTTTCACACACAGCCGCTTTGACACACAGACACTTTTACACACAGACGCTTTTACACACAGACGCTTTTACACACAGACGCTTTTACACACAACACTTTCACACACAAAGGCTTTTACACACAGAAGCTTTTACACACAGAGGCTTTTACACACAGAAGCTTTTACACACAGGCGCTTTTACACACAGACGCTTTTACACACAGACGCTTTTACACACAGACACACACAGACGCTTTTACACACAACACTTTCACACACAGAGGCTTTTACACACAGAAGCTTTTACACACAGAGGCTTTTATACACAGAAGCTTTTACACACAGAGGCTTTTACACACAGAAGCTTTTACACACAGGCGCTTTTACACACAGACGCTTTTACACACAGACGCTTTTACACACAGATGATTTTACACACAGACGCTTTTACACACAGACCCTTTTGGACACAGACGCTTTTACACACAGACTCCTTTACACACAGACGCTTTTACACACAGACGCTTTTACACACAGAAGCTTTTACACACAGACTCCTTTACACACAGAGGCTTTTACACTCAGAAGCTTTTACACACAGGCGCTTTTACACACAGAAGCTTTTACACACAGAACTTTTTACACACAACACTTTCACCCACAGAGGCTTTTACACACAGAAGCTTTTACACACAGGCGCTTTTACACACAGACGCTTTTACACACAGACGCTTTTACACACAGACGCTTTTACACACAACCGCTTTTACACACGGCACTTTTACACACAGACACTCTCATCACACAGACGCTTTTACACACAGACACTTTTACACACAGACACTTTTACAAACAGAGGCTTTTACACACAGGCGCTTTTACACACAGACGCTTTTACACACAGACACTTTTACACACAGGCACTTTTACACAAACGAAAGCGTCCATCGCAATTTTACCTCAGTTTTTAACGTCCAACGTCCATTTCGTGCGTAAGGGCTGCGAATAACAAAGTAAAGTCGCAATTTTTCCTCAGTTTTTGACGTCCAACGTCCATTTCGAGAGGGGTTGCGATTGACAAAGTAAAGTCGCAATTTTTCCTCAGTTTTTGACGTCCAACGTCCATTTCGTGTGTAAGGGTTGCGATTGACAACTCAAAGTCGCAATTTTTCCTCAGTTTTTGACGTCCAACGTCCATTTCGTGCGTAAGGGTTGCGCTGGACTAAGTAAACTCGCAATTTTTCCTCAGTTTTTGACGTCCAACGTCCATTTCGTGCGAAAGGGTTGCGCGCGACACCTCAAAGTTGCAATTTTTCTTCAGTTTTTGACGTCCAACGTCCATTTCGTGCGAAAGGGTTGCGCGCGACACCTCAAAGTTGCAATTTTTCCTCAGTTTTTGACGTCCAACGTCCATTTCGTGCGAAAGGGTTGCAATGGACAAAGTAAAATCGCAATTTTACCTCAGTTTTTGGCGTCCAACGTCCATTTCGTGCGAAAGGGTTGCGTTTCGTGGCGCTCCGGCGGCACCGCCCCCGCCTTAAGAGAGAATAGAAGAAGAGCGAGAGGAGATCTGCAGATGTGAAGGTGTGAAGATGTAGATCGGCAGATGTGAGAGTGTGAAGATCTAGATCTGCAGGTGTGAGGGTGTGAAGATCTAGATCTGCAGGTGTGAGGGTATGAAGATCTACATCTGCAGATGTGAGGGTGTGAAGATCTAGATCTGCAGATGTGAAGGTGTGAAGATGTAGATCGGCAGATGTGAGGGTGTGAAGATGTAGATCTGCGGATGTGAAGGTGTGAAGATCTAGATCTGCAGGTGTGAGGGTGTGAAGATCTAGATCTGCAGGTGTGAGGGTGAAGATCTAGATCTGCAGATGTGAGGATGTGAAGATCTAGATCTGCAGGTGTGAAAGTGTGAAGATGTAGATCAGCAGATGTGAAGGTGTGAAGATGTAGATCGGCAGATGTGAGAGTGTGAAGATCTAGATCTGCAGGTGTGAAGGTGTGAATATCTAGATCTGCAGATGTGAGGGTGTGAAGATCTAGATCAGCAGATGTGAAGGTGTGAAGATGTAGATCGGCAGATGTGAGAGTGTGAAGATCTAGATCTGCAGGTGTGAAGGTGTGAAGATCTAGTATAACGGCTGCTTTTTTACGAAGAACCCTTCGCAGGCGCTCTCGGGAAAAATCACCCACGGCATTATAATAGGATCCCCCACTTCTAGTCATATCACTAATCATGGTTCTTCTCTCTCGCAAGTATTGTTGGTGGATCTATTATAACTTTAAAAACTGTTGGATGTATGATGGATGACTGGGCTCAAGTGCTGACTTCCAAGGTGCTTCACAGTCGACTTCATCAGGAGACCATCCGACAATTGGCCGGCCTCGCCTGACGGCCTGACGTGAAAAGGGCCAGCGCCACATCTGTGAGTGATGGGCCAATTCCAACAATGCTGAGACATGGGGGTTCTCAAAATGGGGGACCCACAAGTGACTATGGGTTTCGATACTAAGTCATGGTCCAATGACTGGATGATGACTTGGGGTAGACATCTGAAGGGGTAAAACTTGGAACTCAAGTACTGCAGTATTTCTTTGCTTAGTAATCCCATCCCCCTACCAACCCCTAAATGGTCCTAAATATGTGGTTTCGTCCCTTACACCATAGTTTCTGGTGAATGTTGAATATTCGGAAGGGATTTTCACCGTACTGGCGATGTATCCGATAAGCTCAGGATTTTTTTTTGCGGTGACTTCATCGACTTGGCCAGGAAGGATGGGACCTACCAAAGCACCACCTTCGCTGTGGCCATCGGCGGAGGCTTCCGCAGTCGTCGAGATGTGCAGGACGTTTTCGGTCGGGTGCATGCTGGAGTTCACCAAGGGATGTTCAAAAAATGGGGGATGCCATCTGGTTGGTGGGAACATGGATGGATTATGACTTTCCATTCAGTTGGGAATGGAATAATCATCCCAACTGACGAACTCCATCAATATGGATCTTTTGCGGAAACGGATACTGATTTTGTGATTTTGTATGATTGGAATTTGGAATTGTTCATCAACCAAGGACCATGTTTACCGAGCGTTCCCAACAATGGGGATATGGGGGATACGTCCCCCGTGATTTTCCAGCCACGTTTGATGACCATATGGCTACTGGGATACCATTGGATCTTGGTACCAAAAAGAAGGTGGCTAAAGCTCAATAAATTGAGTCAGTGTTAGGAAATGGATGCAAACGATGTGTCCTAGATATTGATAGATCTTTGTAGGGCTCAGAAAGCCAGCAACAAAAAATGGCGATTTCTCACGACCAAATGGACATGATGATATTAACCCATAAGAAGCTTGGTTGATTTTGGCCAATCAAAAGGGGATTTCGTTTATTGAAACCAACAAAAAGAACGGAGCTTCCAGGAAATATGGAAGAATACTCTTCTGGTTGGTGGTTTGAAACATGTCTTTTTTTTCCATATATTGGGAATGACTAATATTTTTCAGAGGGGTTGAAACCACCAACCAGTCTTACATGTCCTCCGGAGAATGGGCAGAGAAACGTTGACGAATGATGATGGGTTGCTTCAGAAGCTAGATGCGGAAATTCAGCCAACAGCAAGGCAGGAGTGAGAAAATCAATAATCAATCAGAAGCCATCCCTATTTACCCACTTGTACCATTGCGACAGACTATAGAAAAAATGTTCATTATTGGATTTGAATGCCAATAACCGCAAGTTGGCCAAGTGCAGGCTGCTGTGTTGGTATGTATTTTCAAGTTTACAACATGACTCAGTAATTTTGAAGTTGTGTGGTCAAAAACATTTTCCTGTTGGACAAAGTATTTCTCCGATGTTTTGTTGATTTATATCGCCACGATACCCTCATCATACGTTTGTTGTTAAAGATATTGCAGCTAGTTTACCGCATTACTATCCCCGTGGTTGATGTTTAAATCCCGGGAACTTCTGCAAAAGGGCTCCTATGGCTCCTATGGCTCAAAATCCCATACGGATTTGAGGTCCAAAACCCCAAAGAAAAGATCGATTCATGTCAACCCTGGATTAAGAAACCCCAAACGGCTGTTTAATTGGGGGGTACCTTTGAAGTATCAGATGAAATGACTATTGGAGGAATACCCCCTAATTAAAACCATCATGTTTCCCATTTCGGAGGAGTTGGAGGCTCTGGCGCGTGCGCACCTCCAAAGCCTGGAGGTCGGGCTGGACGTGAGGTCACGGATATATCTATGTGTAACCACTAACTTATGGGGGCTATATATACATATACATATGTATATAGATAGATAGATAGGTAGGTAGGTAGATAGATAGATAGATACATCTATAACTGTAAAGCCCGCGAACTATGGATTTATCTACAAAGCCCATGAACTCTAGATATACTGTAAATATATATATATATGTATGTATATACCATGAACCATGGGTATTGGACTTATGTTCAGCAATTTTCCGATTTGGTCAAGGGAGGGGCCCACGATTTCGTAAATAGGGAAATATCACAGCAACCCTCACATAGACGAGCAAGTTGAAACCTATGGGGCCCGTTGCGGGGCTGTGGATTTGATATTACAAAAATTCTGTGAAGGTCAGCGGTTTCTCGGTGCGGGTCAGTTCGAATTGAAATTCGGATTGTTCGACATCAATTTTCCAGGCACCCAACGGTGCCCTGATGAAAGTGACAGGTTCGAGCATCCATAGGTACCACACAAGAGACTTTGGGAGTTGTGCTAAAACTGACCTTGTTTTTTTGCCCGCAAGATGAGTGTGTCTGAAAATGGGGTATACCTCCAAATGGCTATTTAAATGGCAAAAGTGGTGATCATCCATGGAAAATTGTGGGGTGCCCTATTTTCGGACAAACCCAGATATCTCCGTTGAGCTATGGAAGTCCAGTTCCATGCTCGTTCACGGTTCATGAACCACCCGTCCACGGGCTGGAGTCACATCACAACAAAAATCAGAGACACAACATGAAAAAATGCAGAAATTAGCGTTGCTGATGGTTGTTGATGGCATTTGTTTCATGATTTGGATGGCCCTGAAATCCAGAAATCATCGACTGGATTCCATCCATCATGGGGGAAGACACCCTGAAGCACTTCTCAACACGGTGGATGAGACAGCGGATTCGGGACGCCATGGCCCGAAACTTTGACGTTGACACATCGTTGGTCGCTTCACCAAGTTAACTTGGCAAAACTGGGGGAAATCCAACTGGGTAAGCTGGGAAAATGTTAGGAAAACTGGGACAACTGTAAGGTGAATTGCTGGCTGATGGCAATTTTTCATGTTTTTTTAAATGTGTGTTTTCTGTTTTTGCTTAGTAACGGATTCTGAATTCTGTCAGATTCTGTAGCTAAAGTGTAGCTCTCGGCCAAGTTCTGTTGTACCATTCCCTAGATACAAGTTGGTGTATAACAACATCTAACTATAGTTATATCCACTAAAAAACGAGTTAGATATAAGGGGTTTAACTCATCAAGTTACAAGTGAACTATGGGTTGTATCCACCATGGTTAAACCCACTGTTAACCAAGTTACACGTCATAGCTAACTATGGGGATCCTTCCTGTACAACAAAAAGTGGTGCCACAGCAGATCTACCGCACCGGTGACCCATGTGTTTTGGCAGGGGATAGTTTCATTGACAGGGGCTCCATTGATCCATGGTGAAAAGTCCTATGGAGGGGAGGCTGCCCTCATATTGAAAAAAAACTTCGGGTGTATCAAATCGTGAAACATCACTTGGAGCTTTGAATCCTAAGAGGAAAAAGAGAATCCAGAACAATCAGCATCCATCATGGGATTTTCCCGGCTGGGAAGATCTCCAAGAAATCTACATGTACAGTTTTCAGATGTTTTTAGCCTGGATGATCTGAGTCAAAATGTCGAGTTCTCAGCCTTCCATGCTACCTAGGATGGTCTTCCATAGACTGGTTCCGTTGCTTCCCGTGACAAATGGGAAATCGCCAAGAATCACCAGGTTTGCCAAGATCCCCATTCTACCACCATTTCTGGCTGAGTTTAGGGCAATTTGAAACCCTGGGAATGAAAGATGGGGAAAACCCTCATGCAATAACATCAGGATATGGAAAAAAATGCGTTAAATCAAAATCCGGCAGGACCTAAGGGGTATAATGACAGGGCAAGACGAAAGAAAGATCTCAGCGCCGAAGGGGCCATATCGACCCTGAAGATATGAGGACCTTTCGTTCCCATGGGATGCTATCGTGAGTTTTCGTAGTGGGTTCCACAGCATCGAAGCAATGGGTTTTAGCCATGTGACTGCGCGATGGACTTGATCCGTGCTTGAGACAGCTGTCTCCTATGTTTTCTGATTAATTCATCTTCCCCCTTCAAACGAACATAAATGAGTTGTAATGCCACTTTTTGCTGCTTCAATTTTCAGCCATGTTCAATATTTTTCTGACACATCCGAGGCTCAAAGCCAGGAGACATGAGTCCGGATCGTACAGGCGCTGCTCTCCGGTGATTCCGGGGACTTCCCAACGGCCCGGCCATGCTTTTGATTAGTGAAGGTGTTTCCTGGTTGTTTAATCCATCTGTGGTGAAAACAATCATAAACCACCCATGACTGGGAATGGTCAGTTTATACCACCTATAGAAATGATGGTGACTGGGGGATGGTAAACATGGCATTGTTTTAACCACATTAGCAATAATTGTTCTAACCATAGACCTTAGTTTTCATGTACATTGAGCTAACTCAGCTTGTGGATCCAGGCAGCATCAGTATTTTAGAACCCCACTTAAAATCGATGGACTGTGGATGGCTAGTAAGCCACCCACTAAGTCGGACAGAAAAGTAGGCAATCGCCTCAAAAAGGTTGCTTTTCAGTTTGGTATTTCTCTTTTAATGGATAAACCCTGGTGAATGGTGAGTTTGTAGGTGTTTGCCATGAATGGGATTGTGTGTGGAGAAACGAGGAACACCGAACTGATGGACTGATGGCTATTTCAGTGCCAAGAATGATCAATGGATTTGGAGGCAGCCTGTTGGACAAATCCAAATGCACGAATCATGATGGGGATTTGGCCAGTGTGGTTGATACAGGTGCGGTATTCGAATAGGGCACCCCAAAATGCGATCGTTCCATAAGCAAAAGCCATGCACTTGGGTTTCAAGCCAGGTAACGTTCATCCGCAATGTTTTGGAAGAGGTTGGGGTTGGGGTGTATTCCTTTCAAAAATGATTGCTTCACACGCAGGCTTACAATATTACCAACACTCGCAAGAAACTCTGCAAACCATCAAGTTGTTTCATATGGGAAGCACGTTTGTCCAAGAATGGGCTACCCCTAAGATCCAATGGTTCGTCATCATTTTCCTGATGAAAAAGGTCCATTTTGGCGTATACCCTATTTTGGACAAAACAATATAAGGACCTCCGCAGCCTGCCGATTGACTGATCGTCTTCGGAGTCCATCGAATTTCCGGAGTACCCAATGTTTACCATCTTTGGATATGCCCCATACTAGTGACATCCTCTTTTCCATCCAAGAGTATCTCGTTATCCCCTTACAATCTTTGAAGTTGTATTAAAACCATATCAAAGCGGTTGTACGAGTAACCCCATATTTAAACCTGGTTAGATCTCCATTTTGGCTCATTGGATGCCAGGAACCACTGCATGGATATCTGTGACTGTCGGAGCACCCAGAAAAGTCAGAACTTCTTGGTGAGTGAACAGCAAAGATGGTAAATTACTTTTGGTTCATTTAGTTCTGTCTTTGTGTATATATATATATGTCCATATAGATATATATATATAAATATGTGCATAGTTGTTTAAATATATGTATGTACAGCATAGATACAAGGAGGGATGAACCTATCTATATATGTACATACATACATACATACATACATACATACATTTACATATATACATACATATACATATATAAATATATTAATATATATATATATACGTATATGTATATGTACGTTTTGCGTGGGCGTATGCAGTTCGCCAAAGCTCAGCTGTGGGCCCGCTGTGCAAAGTTGTGCTTGAATGCTGTGACCAGCCACACCTATGGATCTTCGGGTGATCGTTTGAGTGATCATGGAATGACTTGCTTGAGCATGTTTCGCGATTCCTTGGTCAGCTCCAGGCCTCGTGAAATCACTGCCCGCTGGAGCACGCCATACTTTTTGTTTAAAGATGCATGCTTTTGCCCTGAGGACTTGTCCTGGCCATGTGGGTTAGGAGGAATGCTGGTGGACCCTCATGGCAACCAGGTCTCCGCTATGTCCATCTGCTTGGAATTCCATGAGCTTGAAATCCTTGAGGCCAAATTGTTGGCCCTGCTTATCTGTCTAGTACTGTGGCGTAAGTACCTCAAAAATCGCCCATGCGTTGCATTCATCGACAACAACGCCACTAGACATGTACGCATTTCTGGCAGTGCAAAAACCTTCCCTCACATTGGTCTTGTAGCCCAGTTGCTTGAGGCTGAGGACAGGGGGAACCCTCATGGCGTACTCCAAAGTGCCGGTCCCTCCAGAGGGTCCTGTGTTGACCTCAAGGTCAAACCCCTCCCAAACGAACTGGTAGCTATCGTTTTGAAGAAGTGTTTTGGCAAGCTCAAACAGGCATCGGTTAACATGGGGTGATGTGGCCCAGCCTTCGCACATTTGGTGCGATACCGGACATGGCATGATGCAGAATTTTTTTTGATATGTGCGAAACTCGACATGGCCTTGAGATGATGGCCTCCAGCCTGAACCATTGAGCGTGCCCATTGTCGCAGTGGAAAACGAGTGACTCGTGCGTCAGTGACTCACTCATTTGTTGTCTGCATTCATTTAGGTTTGGTTTGTTTTGGAACTGCGTTTTTATTTCCAGTGCTTTGTTTCTCGGAGGCTTAGACTTCTGCAAGGCGACCGGCGTGAGTGTTTTAAGCAAACGGTCAACGATGTTGATAGTGCTTTAAAACAATGAACTAAAGGAAAATTTCTTGTGCCTGAAATTTTAGCCTTGCTTTACCTCCTTGCTGTGACCAACTCAGCAACCTCATAGGTTCACCGACTGTGGTCTTTTCTCAAAACAAATGGACAAAGCTAGTGTGCCACTTTCCTGCCCAGCTCTTGGAAACCCTTTCCAAACTGTGTATTCAACAAGCGCCTTTGCAAGCTGGCCCGGCTCTTGGAAAACAACCGTTTCCAAACCGAGTGCTCTTACCATGTATTCAAACCTGCCCGGCTCTTGGAAATCAACTGTTTCCAAACCGTGTATTTAAACATAAGTTTCCAAACATGCCCGGCTCTTGGATGAACCACTCCAATCCGTGTGAGCGTTTTCATTGAATGATGTGCCCCTTTCTAGCAGACAGTTTGCCATAACAGACGAACATGGCCTGTTGTCATCATGTAAATCTTTTAATCAAGTGGCAATTTCCACTCAAGTTTTTTATGTCCCACCCGATCCTAATGGCTCTCCCACCCATATGGTTATGTTCACACCACTTAACCCCTAACTTTTCACTTGCTGTTCACTCTGTGAAGCTGCCATATGATCAGCACTGCCGTGGACACAGAAGTTTTGCATCAAGCTCATATCGTCCTTGCACCGTCTTTCCCATGCAGCCTGCCTCTTTGGCTGATTTGACAGCTTTTGTTTCGATCTCCGTCGCGTTCATGAATACAGTGGAAATAGCTGACCGCGTGTTGGTCTTCGAGACTGTTGTTGCTGGCCTTCGGGCAATCCTTGAGCATACCGGAAACCCAAAGAACACTTGCAGAGCATTCACAAATTCTGGATTGCAATGACACATAGTCTTGCTTTGCTTGAGCACTTACACTTTCCGACTTTGCCACAGGAAACCAATGCCCACCTGGCCTTTCCGCAGCCCCGGGGTATATGTATATATATATACATATATTTACATTTACATATATATATATATACATGTTTATGTACATATCTATTCACATATATACATACATATCCAGAACGGATATATATATATACATATATACATGTATATTTACATATATTTACATTTACATATATATATATACATATGTGTATACATATGTATATACATATTTATATATATATATATAGAAAGAAATATCTTTATATATAGAAAGATATATATATATATGCATGCATGCATGCATGCGCGTCTGGGTTCATGGGATTGAAAAACTACCCCGCAAGTCGATATCACCACTCGAAATAATGGCTCTTAGTAACAGTAACCATCATGAACGTACTTTTCGGGTTGGTGAATCATTCTGAGTTTGCCAGTAGCGTTACCATTTCTATTGGTGATGCCTCATAGATTTGCTGTTAGTCTTACAAAAACTATCCAGGGACCTATCACTGTCTTGGGACCCACCGTGACAAAATGTCTAGGCTTTGTCCCATTGTTCATGGCCTCAATTGTTGGGGAGTCGACCAATTCTTAGAGTAGTTTAGAAAACAATGCTGGGGGCACCCAAGTAATCAGGATTCATCAATCCAGACACTAGGGATGATGTGTTACTATATGTCCTATGATCAAAACATGGTATGAGGTTTATGGTCATCCATCCCACAATGGGAATACTTGGGGTTAGTCTAAATCCCAATGGATTGATGACCATCCCTCAACATACTGTGGATGGAAGAAGCAATCGAATCACCATCTGGCAACTGTGAGTCATGCCATTTTGGCGTGGTTGATGAGCATAAGTCCTAATGTGTTGTCCGGGTCGGCTGGATCAGCTGGAAGTCTTGCAGAACGGGTCACCATCGCTGCTGCAGTCTTGTCGCGACGGTGCGACGACGCTCGAGTTCGCTTTGAGACGTTGGCCGGACGGGCTGAACAAGCCCCGACGGCCATGCAAGTGAACGAGTTCGTGTCGCCCCACTCTGTGGTGAGCGGTAGCGCATTTGGTGAACAGTTTCTTTCGCCAGTTGGTGAAGCAGGAGCCCGCTCATCGAGCAACCTCTTCATACCAGGCGAGGAGAAACCACAAAGACAAAGGCAAGTTCAATCTTTCTGTATGTCTATCTGCAAGCTTGAAAACGAACCTATTCTGCGTGACTTCCTCAATTCTTGACCTTGGCAACATCAAAAACCGCAGCAATTCTGCGAGACATCCTCAATTTTTGACCTTGACAATGTCAAAAAGGAAGCAATTCTGCGATACCTCCTCAATGTTCCAAGTTGACAACAGAAAAAAACGAAGCAATTCTGCGAGACTTCCTTCAAAAATGGAAAGTTGAGAGCACAGGTGACGGCCTCGTACCAATGCGTTTTGCGATTTTTCCACTCCATTTGTTTAAACTACTGCGCCTGCCAGGAAAAAGTGATGCCAGGTCATACGAAGTGCTGTACTTGTCACGCAAAATCATCTTAGCAAACCTGAAGATCTCATGCTCCAAAATGCAACCCTTCTCAAGAAATATCCGCCCTGATCTCCTAACACATCTAACTAATGTGTCTCTTGTATTGCGCCTGCCACGCGAAATGCATCTTTGCAGATCCTCTTCAAATGTCCCACGCTTGCCATCGTTTGAAACTGCTACAAAACCCTTACGTTTTGCTATAGGCTTTCAACGGTTTCAAGATGGTAAACATCATGGTAAACATCCCATTATTAGGCTTTCAACCATCCGTTTGGTGGTGATTCGGATTTCGCAACCATCCCGTAGGAAAAGGGTCGTCATGTTTTGACCCTGGCACGACCAAGGCGTCGGTGTGTTATGCCATGTCTTACTTCTGGCGCTATCCCATCTTCATGCCACTGGGAGCCGAAGGAGCTGTTGGCCGGCTTTGATATATGTCTAATTTGGGATGAATCAAGGTGGAAAATATCAGATGGGTCTGGGTACAGTATAACGACCACAATTTTTCTCCAGAAACCCTGGAATGATGGTTTATATATGGGGAAATCTTCCAATACACGGCTTATTTTCAGGTTAGTGAAATATGATAACTTACCCAATCATGGGGAGATCATATGGGTCCAAAAAATTGGATATACCCCCATTTGGTTGCCACTTTCATAGGAACAAGGCTGATAACCATCATTTTTCCGGGGCATCCTGCTTTTGAAAAAAAACATGTGAGGAATGGTTTATGTTTTTTACATATACATACATATACGTGTCTCAAATATGCGTATATATATATTTATATTTATATCATATATTTACCTGTATCCTTGAAAAAACACAAATAAATGCTCATTTGAGAGATTTCTGTTTTTTAAGCGGTTTTTTCCTCCACATGAGCGTAATTACACCACTTTTGGCATGTTTGCATTTTGTGCATTTTGAAACCAAAATTATCAGCGTATTTTCCTGGGAAATAAGCGTAAATACCCGGGAAAATAATACCCGTCCGTCAAGAAACAAATGCGCGTTTTCTAGTTCAAGTGAGCATAAAAAGTCAGAACGAACGTAAATCCAAGCGAAAACTGCTATGAGCAGAAAAAAGTGCTGCTAAGTGAAGATCCAGGTATGTATATATATATATATATATATACATATTTAAATATATATATATACAGAATGTGAGAGGTGGTTTTGGCTACAAATAGCATCCTGAAATGTTACAGCTCTGAGGACTAGATTTTGGGCAACGGAAACAAGGATTCGACCCCAATCCCAGACCCTATCGGGTAGACCCTGCTGAATGTTCTTCAGCTCGAAGATAGGTTGACAAATTACCTTCTGGTAATTCAACATAGCTATTCAAAATGACCCATTTACTTCGATGATTTAGCGAGCTAAGATGATGATTTGCTAGAGCTGCCAGCCATTACCAAAGGGTACAGCATGGTACGCAGGGTGGCCACCAACTCTATTCCGTTTCGATCACTTCTTTCGATCACAGCTCTTTTCTTTCCTCCCTTTATTTCGCTCAAGTAGATTCAAATAGCAGAAAAACAGCGACGTGTCCCCAAGTTCCCCGGCAGCATAGCCAGCTCCAGTTTTTCCATGTTTTCGCCGCGGCTTCGAGGCTGCCTCCACATATCCTGGATGCACAGGCACTGGAGATCTTTGGGCGCCAGCTCTCCTTGCAGGAGTGTGCCTTGCCCGCAATCATCCGGGGATGCCACCAATCAGCTGGCCTCGCGGTGGCTCCAGCATAGAGAGTGGTATTGGTGGTTTTTTAGCCACGGTTTTTACCCAGTCATAACTCCAATGCTCTCGCTTTTCCATTATGTTCCACCATTTTCCACTGTTTTCCACCATTCCTCTTGTCAACATATTGTTGCGAAAATTCTCGCTCAAACCTCCGATTTTTTGTGGCCGAGCTCCCCAGAAATTTCGGAAATCTCGTGGCACCAGGTTTCAACATGGCTTTCGTGGTGGGTTTCGGTGCAGCGAAACTGCCCGCCATGCGTTTGCAGACCTCCGCCTTCTTCTTCCAGCTGCTTGACCTGACATGGGTCTTAAGGGGGATGGGATTTCACTGAAATACCCAGAAAACCATGGGATGATGATGGTGGTATGATGGTAGCGTTTTTTGTATTGGGATATAAGGTAATAATGGGTTATAACTATTCCAATTCAACCAGATCATTGATACGTAGGATTGGATGCCAAAAGTTGCGAACATTGCCGCTTCCGGCGCATCTGTTTTTCCAATATTATGAAGATGAATTGCAAATCAGGTGGCCAAATGGTTCCAACAGCGCTAACGATACAGTGGTTTTTCTGTTGAAGCATTGAACAGTCTTGAATTGATGGGTGGGGAGGGCAGAAAGGGTGATGAATTTTCCAACCAACCTCACTAGCCCACATCGCACTGTGTGGTGTTTCGGATATGGAGAACCGTTCCAAATTCAACCAGTTTCAGGTAAAGTGAGTGTTTTCAACCAGATCAGAGGGGCAACTGAGCTTGGGCCGTCAGGCCCGTTAGGAGCCAGGGATTATGAAGGTCCTTGAGAAAGCCTAGATGAATGAAAATCCGGGTGCACCAACAAACCACCGCGGAGGTTTTTGGGCTCTGGGTCAAAAATTGCAGGCCCCGATGAACTTATGATTTTTTAGGAAGAACAATCCCCATATTGGCAGCCCACTGTAACAACATTTCGTGTACCTAAATCTGCTGGCGCAAGAAGAAAAGTTCAGACACGCAAAACAAATCAATCATTGGATGCATGAAACGCAGTTCATTCGCAATGTGCGAAGCAATGCGCGGATCCATGCGCATGGAAGTCTTTCTTGATTTTGCACATGGGCGTGGGAACTGTCTACAATCTTGAATTATGATTCTACATAGTATCCCCAGGGTATGTGCGTGGCATCGAAGGGTGCGTGGAACGTTGCATCATTCCACGCTGGATTTCCGACACGATCCCATGCCCACCCTTTGAGACGTACCGATATGGAACATTTCAAATAGGAAACCATTTTCCATTCAATTCATATCTTGATCAACTGAACTCTCACATGAGCACAGCATAGTGGGTCCATATTCCATGACTATCCTCCAAAGCCTAGTGTTTCGCCTTTCCAAGAACCAGAAGCGCCTTGTACACACGGGTGTCTGAACTGTTGTTCTTTTGCATCATTCAACGCAGGGTTTTCGGACACCATCTCATTATGCACACCATTCCATTTCCATGTGTAGCAGGGTCCATGTCCGCCACCATTTGAAGCCATTAAGAACAGCCCTTGTTGTACACCTTGGAGAATCTTGCGAAACACCGGAAGTGTGTTCATGTGTGGCTGAAGCTTCTCTATCGCGCTCCCCCTTGGAGGGGTCGACGGATTTGGGGATTGTTTATGGCAGTTGGTTTGCCACATTCTTCAGTTCTCCGCTTCATCCCATTCCATTCTTGAATGGAATTTGATGCCTTCCAGCACATTCTCTTTATAAGCGCAATCCTGCTTTTGCGGGATGCCTGATGTTGAAAGAACCATCAGTGACAATTTTCCGTTCAATATGCACTGTACCTAGAAACGGACACATACATTAAAATTTAATTGCCGTACCCCTCATCACATCACATTACAGTACAGTAAAATAAAGTAGCAAAACAATAACATGAAAGAACACGACTTATAGATGCATGTACATATGCTATATGTCATATGTTTTAATCATATTTCATGTTTCATACATCGTATTTATATATATATATAAACATCATTTATCATATGTCACATATCACATCTCACAACTTTTTCATTTACATGTACATACACATGTACATATACAGATATGTATTTAAACACACATGCATACACACACATACATACATACATACCTACAAACATACATACATACATACGTACATTCGTACGTCCCTACATACATATCTTTTTGCCAGATATCATACATCACATACCACATCTCATATCATTTATTACATACATACATACATACATACATACACGCATTCATACATACATGCATGCATGCATGCATACATACATACAGACATACATACATACATATTTACATACATATTTACACACATATTTATTTAAATAATATATCCATATATACATGCATACATACATACATACAGACAGACAGATATACATACATACAGACATACAGACATACAGACATCCATGCATCCATGCATACAACCATGCATGCATACATACATACATACATATATACATACATATATATGTGTCTATTTATTTAGCCATGCACATATATTGTAAGCACATGTGGTCCAAAGTTTTCAACGCGGGATTTCTCCCAGGTATCGCCTGAGCATTCTGCGCCTCGGACGCCAGACAAATGGTGGATTTCATCCAGAAAATGTAGGAACTGTGCCATCAAAAATGGTCACCAAAAATGGTAAGATCGAAAGATGATTGATAAAACAAGTAGCATCAAATTTAAAAGTCGATTCGACTAACAAAGAGCCCACCAATCAGTTGGGGGTTGGACTACATTCCTCTTCGGATGAATGGTTTTCAGGGGTCTACATTAGTTGGGGGACGGTTGTCCATTTAAAGTCCTGAGATTTTGTCGAATGCAAATTTCACTTGAAATGAAAGGATGTTGGCCAATAGGGATGGAGATTTGAGCCAGTGTAAACGAGAGGATTATGCAACGGAAATGGACAACAGAGAGATGATCGTCTAATTGAATAGCGGAGTTTTCACCACAGCGGCAAAACTGGTCATCTAGAAAATTGGTCATCTAAATCAGTTTTTGTGGCGTAAATCTCTTCCACAAGAATCTTCTTGTTGTTCCATCGCCAATTAACAGACCCGCACCAGGCAAATTCAAACATCGTGCCCATCAAGGTATGGAAATTGGTCGAAACAACTCCACTGCACCATGCAAACATGCTGAATCTATACGAAACAAATTTTGAAAGTCGAAACCAACTGCTGAGGCTTTGGATGCTCTTCCTGTCGATGATCTTAACCGGTCTGGCGGGTTTGCTACCCTCACACTTCCTGCCCCCGGGCGAAACCATTTTTTGTGATGTTTTGGGATTCGAATTGATGGCCAAACAAGTGGTGCAAATGATGTTGCAAAGGATGGGATGGGTTGGGATACCATACTTTTGGACGGCAGATTCAGTATGGTTTCCTGGTCAATTTTTGTTCAATCCATTTCTGCGACGCACCGATAATGGTGAAAACAACAAAAGAAAAATGTAAAAGCCAGTCATCATCTATAGCGACCTACAAAAGATATCAAATGGTTCAAGTTACCTCTATTCTGCTATGACTTGAGACTTTTCTGCACCTCAAAAGTTGGTTGCCAAAAAAGTACATCCTCAACAAGTCTCGTTGCTAAATCCCTGGCGAGGCAAATTTCCGCCTTCTTCTGGTCCTGCTTCGTGTCCAGTTTCCTCTACGGTGGTATCGTCACCTACCTGGAGGGACGCTACTTGCCGCGAATTCGCTGAAAAGTTTACCATAAGACCATCAAAAAAAACGAAACGGTGGTTTAGCCATATTTAACCCATGTTGTGCTGTATTATGACCGCAGGTCAAAGGTCAAGCTATGCAAAGTGGGTGATTCACATCAAATGGGTTTCAAAGTGGTTCACAAATCCACTGATCTGGATAAATTATCGTGACCTCACTGGGACATCTTAGGAAGGGTAACTGTCCCTAAAGGGTCGTATTTCAGGTTTTCAGGTTTTGTGTAATTGTAATTTACCCAGACTGATGGGAAATCAGGTGGCCAAATGTTTGGTCCAATTGTCAGTCATTTCTTTTTCGCTTGGATGGGATGTTTCAGGGATAAGACCGAGGAGAATTCTGAAAAAGCAGGGAAGATATAGAACTCACCTTTTTTGTCTGTAAAAATCTCGTGTCCGTGGTTCTCAGTTGAGTTGACATGAACCAGAGCGACTACATGGATTTTTCAGAGAACACTTGGTCATTTGTCTGGATTTCAAATATGAATATGGTTGGATAAGTGCATGTTTTGAGTGAAACATCGAATAATAGTTATAGTAAATTTCAAAAATTCAATGATAAGTTTATCCAAATGAATGTTGTGGAGTCTGCTCTGTATCTTCTACAGTTGTTCGCCATCAAATTCATCGCCATCCCTGTTGTGGCTTGGAAAATGATGGGCTGTGATTTCTCTGACATGGGATGATAAAGTATCTCCAATGGCTACGTTAGGGTAACGGCTATAGCACCAGTCAAGATTGTTTTTTTATCGATTTCGGCCTTGGTAAGTGTCTCAATATCCAATCAGGCAATAAACATAGAAAATCCAATCCACGACTAGCTGGCATCCCCTCAATGCTCGTCCAGGTCGAAGTACAGCTGCTTGACTTTTTTCGAGCGGAAGGGGAAAGGGATTTTTTTATCGTGATGAGGCTACAACGGCCTGGAATATTTTAGGGGGTTTCCATAAAATATAAAGGAGTACTCCGAAATCATCTAAACTTTGACCGTCTTAGATCATTTCAGGATTGAAACCTTTGGTGACTTGAGAATCCTGCATTGACACCCCCATCCATATACATCCATATACATCCTTGATTTTCGAAACCAACTCTACCCTCCAAGATGGAGTTTGCCAATCATGAGCACATAACAAGTTATATCGCATATTATCTACGATAATTTTACCCAGCTGTTTCCATGGTGATTAATGATTACCTAGATGTTTTACCAATAAATCATCCGATGAAAAGGTACTTCTCCTGGATGAAAACCATCGTATTTACCCATGAAAAACTCGAATTTCCATGGTGTAAATGTTGAATAACTTAACTCCTTCAACATTTACACCATTGAAATAGCTGGGTAAATAGCATTCTAAACCATTCTTTCCATATCCATAGCTCCTATAGCTTGCTTACCCATAAACATAAATTTTCGCATCAGTTATATCCCATTAAGAATTAGGTGTTCCCAACAAAAATGCGATTTACCCATACCAATGACCCATTTGTGAAAATTGCCTATTTATAGGTTATTTGTTTCTTTATGATACAAAAGTGCTGATTTTCCATACATGTCCATACTGACATTTACCAAAGACTACAAACTGCAGCTCCATTGCACTGTATATATTCCACCATGACAACTCTCCCAACTATTTACATGGCATATATACAGTTTAGGACAACTCTCCCAACTGGAAAATTACTGTATTTTTTGTTGCTCCACAACTCTCCTTGCAAATTCCCATGGTGAACTCCTCCGAGGAGATCCTGTTGGCCTCGATCAGTGCCTCGTTAGTCTTCGCAGGCACCGTGAGCCGCGCCAGCGCAGATGTGCTGCTGCGGATGGGATGCCCTGCGCGCTTCATGCCGTTGCTGCTGGGTGCAGGTGCCATTCGACCGGACGAGTTTGGAGGTGTTTGGAGCTTCTGAGTCGAACATTTGGGGCATTTTGATTGGGGAAATTGCGGGGAGAGATCTTCACCTGACAAAGCCAGAGTTCAAAAAGCTGCGTGATTTTTGGACGATTAGGGCAACCTCCTTGAAGGTATGGCATCGCAGTTGACCACTGGCTAGATATTTCATTCCAATGAAGTCTGTGGTCATTGGGAATGCGAAGGTGAAGCATAGCATGAGGTCCTTCAGGTTTCGATGCTTTCAGCCATTTCATAAATCAAGCCAGTAAGTCTAATGATAATCATTGGTTAACATCCATTAAAACGACTTCCCTCAGTATTTTTGATAACATCATCATTGGATACCCCCAAATAGCCATTTGAATAAGGGAGTTTGATGATAAACCAATGGTTTTTGATATCCAACTATGTCCCCATTTCAAAGATAGAATAATGTTCTTTCTACCCCATCAAAGCTCCTTAGCCAATTTGAATGACTATGACTGTACTATGACAGAACCCATTCCACTGATTTGCTTTGGTAAATCCATGGGATTATCCCATGTTTTCTATCCCATCCATCCTGGTGCTTTCAACATATGTTGTAAGAGGAGGGTGGGTGCCTCAACCACCAGATGTCGGTGATATATACATACATTACATGACAGTACATTACCATTACCGTTACCATTACCATTACCATACAATACATTGCATTGCATTACATTACATACATATACACATACATATATACATATACACATATGACATATATCCCAACGATACTCCCATGATACCGCATGTTTTTTTGGTGAGTCGTCGGCATTCCGGAATCGATCCCATGATCCAGATTACATTGGGAAAACCATGTGTGATCCTCCTGTAAACGTTTACATAGACGACGAAAACCCACGGCTTTGATCATCGGTTTTTCCACATCTATATTCCACATTATGTAACATAACTATGGAAAATTTGCTCGTTTTGAGATGATAAGAATGATGATTTACCGAGCTTAATCTTGATTTTCCTGTTCCCTGCGTTAAATTAACAGAGGGCACAACGTGGCGGCCCCTGAGTTATAAGTTGGTTTATAACCTCATTAACTACTTCGATATATCTACCATAAACCACAGTTGACCTAGTTATAAACTGACGTTGCTATCTCCATTCCCATTCTATCATGAGTAATTAAGTCTAAAATCCCCTGAAATCACCATGAAGTTATCTGGTTCGTGGTTTGGAACATGGCTTTTATTTTCCATCATATATGGGATAATCCTTCCCATTGACTTTCATATTTTTCAGAGGGATTGAAACCACCAACCAGTTATGGTAGCTGACCACCTCCCGTTCCCGTCGCACCGTCAAGGCGCTTTCCTCGTGGCGGCCTTTCTGCTGGTTCTGACGGCCCGCGCACCACCGCCCAACCGCGCAGACGTGGCGGCACGCTCAGCGCGAACACCCATGAGCCCCAGGAAGAATGGTGATGGATCATTCGGATGGGTATATTTCTTTATAATATATACATATATACACTATATATATATATATACATATGTGTGTGTGGCTATACGTATGTAAGTATGTCTATATATACATATATACACATCAAAAATATACATTTATATATACACATATATATATATTTACACATACATACATATATAAATATATATTTAATTATATATACATATATATGCATATATATATGTATACACATATATATATGCATGGATCTATGTATATATATATACATATGTATATATATATATGTATACATATATATATGCATGGATCTATGTGTATATATATATATGCATAGATGCATGTATGTATGTGTGTTTTTTAATATACATATCCATATGCATGTGTGTGTTGGTATTTCTGTTGCTTACAATGAGGTAAACCCACTGCCACAAATCATCCCCAATTGGGGTTTATGAGGATATACCTCTGTTTGCGCTGATGTAAAACGAAACCAAAATGGTGGATGGCTGGTGGAGATCTAACCTTAAGACCTCGGTTCTCAAAGTGTTGTTAAAGTATAGTTTTGTGTTTTTAATACGGTGTTGATATATTTGCCTATTGTGATTTGAATATGGCCCGAGAAGTCCTGATTTTCTGAGCTGTGCCTCCGTGCTGTCTTTCAGGTTTTGTGTTTGTTGAGTGTTTGTTCGTGAAAATGCTATCAAAATTGTCTCAAAAAATGTTTCGAATTTAAGAGAATGTTTAAATTGTATCGGTTTGTTTATCAAAGGCCACCAGGAAGACCCCAGGTCGCTCCATGAAAAAAGGGTCAACTGATAGTAAGACATACAATGTGCTACAAATGGAGATATGTATCTATGTAATGTGATGCGATGTGATGTGATGTAGTTTAATGTGATTTAATGTAATGTGATGTGAACTATTTTGTAATGTGATGTGATGTGATATATTGCAATGTGATGTGATGATATGGTATGTTTTGTTTTGTTGTACGTACATATATATATATACATATATGTACCATCCAGCTAACATGATATTCTCTGACAGGGTCTTCAATATTGGGAATAATATGGGTGTATAGTTGGATATTACTGGTGCTTCTAAGACCGCCCCAGGTTGGTTTTTGACGAGTTGGAATCGTAGAAATATGAGTACTGGTATCATCGGAGTTACCATCCTGCAAAGACTTTTCTATTTTTCTCGGAGTTGCTGTATTTCCATTTCTCTTTTCAATTTATGTTTTTTCAATTGTCAGAATTCACAAATGTCAGGAAGAGACCCTGAAGCAAGACGGTTTCAAAGCTGCAAAAGTGCTTTTCCGTAGCCTTTAGGGTAAGCTTCATTTTAAAGCCCCCAAAACCGCCTAATGGAACCTGACCACAGATAATGTCTATACCCAAAAAGAACCAACAAAAAAACATGATAGAATTGCTAGATAAATTGGGTTGATATGTTTTTTTCTTAATGTCGCTGTTTGATACACCACATCATCGACATCCGCAGGAAACAGTGGGAGTTTGTGCGTGACAACCTCTTTGGTGTCGTCGCCACCATCGGCATTTGGGCCTGCATGGCCTGGAAGCTCAGGACATGGAGGAAGGGGATACCCCGGGTACCCCGAAACCTCCATGCGCTACTCAGATTTTGGTCATGGCAGCCATTGGAACAATGGTCTTTCATGGTCTTTCAACGTCTTTCATGGTCTTTCATGGTCTTTCCATCCCATTGCTGCATCAAAACCCTCGCTGCTGATATCACCGTATTTAGGTGCAAGGTCTGAACGAGCTCACCATCGATGGACCTTTTTGTTATCCTTTTTTGATGGTGAACTATTTCAAATGTCTATGGATCAACACCTATCATTCATATTATCACATATCATATCTAGGAGAATGTGGTGGTTTCCTAAGTCATAGGGGCTACTCCTAAATCATCCATTTTATTTTCGGATTCTCCATGAAGCAAACCATCCAGTGATTGGGGTATCCCCCATTTATGGAAACCCCCATATGGAGAATGAACATTCAGGCGGGTCTCCGTTCCTTCCGCGACTTCTACACGCAGAAGATCTTCTCGGCCGCGTTGAATGGCACGCCGACCTCGAAGGCCGGGCCGATTTCGGGATGGGGATTCCGTTGATTCGTAACCATTGGGCATTCTACAAATATGGGGACATTATAGTGGATACTGCGAAGATTGATGTTTGATGAGTTTGAGCAGTATTCTCTATGCTGGGGAGAAATTCACTCTTGAGAATCTCGTTCACCGACGAGATCAAGTTCACCGAGTTCCCGCAGATCTGATCTGATCTTACTGTTTCTGTTAAGGCCTTGGCCATAGAAATATCATGAAAATTCCTGTCCCAAAATGTTCCACCATCTTTCGCAGCTTTTCGCAGGTCTACGTTCTTGCAGACGTCCCTGGAGCAGTATTATCCTTTGTCTTCTTGGTCCCTTGCAGGGCAGAAGGGTGGAAATGACTTGGTGCCACGAAGTCAGATGAACTGTTTCTCTCCTGTCAGGATGAGAGATATTGTAAAACTTGGTGGAGCTAGATGTGTGGCTCCATTTTGAGAAAGGACTTTTTCATGTCAAAAATTAAAAAGCAAGTCGGGCAAGGATTTGCCAAGAGTGTTTTTTTACCCAATCCATTTCTGCATTGGCCACAGGTCATGATGTCATGGGTCCACAACTCGCAACGTGCCCTGTTCCTGATGCTGCTGACCAATGTCGCGGGAGCCTTCGCCGACTATGCTGTGATTTGGGTCTGGGTCAATACCCAGAATTTAACCCGGACCCTGTCACTGTCCGGAGGCTTCAATACAAAATCGTAACTGAAAATTACCCTTCGTCAATATGATCATGTGTGTTTCTGTGTGCTTTCCCATGTTGGAAAAGGATGGTGGATTCATGTGAAAAAGGTGTGCGTCGGTGGTATTTGGTAACCATGGCAATTGGAAATCGCGTGGAAGATCATCCCATCAGATGACTTCGTCGCCAAATGCTAAGCCAACTCTCATCTATCCCAGTGAAGATTTTTCATGGGGTGTTGAAGTACCAACCATAGATCCGAAGTATTCTTGATAGATGATCACATTTGTCCCACAGCCATGAATGCTAGCTCCACAGCTGCTCCAACTCAACTAATCCATAATTCAGCCCCCGCTGAAAGAAGTTACCATCTTTGGGTCCCATATCACTTTAAGGGTTTGGGAAAGACTCAAAATCATATACTCCACCAAAAAATGATGAAATATTCAACACATGCTGAAATTCATGAGTTTTCCAATGCCCAATGCGTTTGCAGGAAGGAAATACTCAAAATGATCAGCTTGCAGATGCATTGGTACCCTGCTGTGGGTAAAAAAGAACCCTGTACCTCTGTTGAAAATTGCTCCATGGCCATATCCCCTTACTTACAGAATTTTTGAGGTTTTGGCCTGACGCTTTGTGCCTCACCCCCACAAAAAAAGATCCGTGGCTAAACGTTCACGCAGTCAATTCAGTAGGCACCACAAAAATTCGGGGCAATGTCCACAAAAATCCCCGAAGTAATCTTACAATTAGATATCATTAGATATCATTAGATATCATTAGTTATCATTAGATATCATTAGATCATATATCTGTCATATATCTGTCATATATCTGTCATATCTAAGCTTTTCAAGTCACCTTGTTTGATCCAAAAAAGCCTCGCCTTTTTTAGAGCGCAGGACTCCTGGTGATGGCAGGATGCACCTACCTCTTCCGACTCGCTGTGCTGGATGGCATGGATTGGATTCTGTGGGGCGGCCCAAAGGATTGGGCGAGGAACAGCAATGTGGCCAGCCAATGCAGTGGAAATGGATGGTTTTCTATTGCAGGAACATCATCAATATTCAATATTTACCTTGTTTTTTTATGAATATTTATGAATATTGATGATGTTGCCAGGTCGATGATGGGAAGCCCAGTTTTGGACCAGGCCATTTTACACGCAAAAGGTTTTTCCCGAGAGCGTCTGAGCGCAGGATTCTTGAAATAGTGGGGGTCTGTATCTCATCTTCTCATCTTCAAATCTTCTCATCTTCACACCTTCTCATCTTCACATCTTCTCATCTTCACACCTTCTCATCTTCACATCTTCTCACCGCACATCTTCTCATCTTCACATCTTCTCATCTTCACATCTTCTCATCTTCACATCTTCACATCTTCTGATCTTCATATCTTCTCATCTTCACATCTTCTCATCTTCACATCTTCTCATCTTCACATCTGCTCATCTTCAGAGTCTTCTCATCCTCACATCTTCACATCTTCACATCCTCACATCTTCACATCTTCTCCTCTTGCCCTCTTGCCCTCTTGCCCTCTTGCCCTCTTGCCCTCTCCTTCTTTTCTATTTCTCTTCTGAAGGCGGGGGCAGGGGCACTGCCAACGAGACGGAACGAAACGCAACCCTTTCGCACGAAACGAGGTTCGATCGCCAAAAACTGAGGTAAAATTGCGATTTGCAAGGTGTCCCGCGCACCCTTTCGCACGAAATGAGGTTCGATCGTCAAAAACTGAGGTAAAAGTGCGAGTTCAAGTCGTCCCGTGCAACCCTTTCACACGAAATGAGGTTCGATCGTCAAAAACTGAGGTAAAAGTGCGAGTTCAAGTCGTCCCGTGCAACCCTTTCACACGAAATGAGGTTCGATCGTCAAAATCTGAGGTAAAATTGCGATATCAGGTGTCCCGCGAACCTTTTCGCACGAAACAAGGTTCGATCGTCAAAAACTGAGGTAAAATTGCGATTTCAAGTTGTCCCGCGCAACCCTTTCACACGAAATGAGGTTCGATCGGTCAAAAACTGAGGTAAAATTTCGATTTCAAGTTGTCCCGCGCAGCCATTTCGCACGAAATGAGGTTCGATCGTCAAAAACTGAGGTAAAATTGCAATTTCAAGTTGCTCCGCGCAACCCTTTCGCACGAAACGAGGTTCGATCGTCAAAAACTGAAGTGAAATTGTAATTTCTCTTGTCTAATCGCGACCATTTCGCATGAGATGAGGTTCAATCGCCCAAAACTATAGCAAATTGCGATGTCCTGTGTGTAAAAGCGTCTGTGTGTAAAAGCGTCTGTGTGTAAAAGTGTTAGTTTGTAAAAGCGTCTGTGTGTAAAAGCTTTTGTGTGCAAAAGTGTCTGTGTGTAAAAGCTTTTGTGTGCAAAAGTGTCTGTGTGTAAAAGCGTCTGCGTGTAAAAGCGTCTGTGTGTAAAATCGTCTGAGTGTAAAAGCGTCTGTGTGTAAAAGCGTCTGTGTGTAAAAGTGTTAGTGTGTAAACGCGTCTGTGTGTCAAAGCTTTTGTGTGCAAAAGTGTTTGTGTGTCAAAGTGTTTGTGTGTAAAAGCGTCTGTGTGTAAAAGCGTTTGTGTGTAAAAGCGTCTGTGTGTAAAAACGTCTCTGTGTAAAAGCGTCTGTGTGTAAAAGCGTCTGTGTGTAAAAGTGTTCGTGTGTAAAGGCGTCTGTGTGTAGAATCGTCTGTTTGTAAAAGCGTCTGTGTGTAATAGCTATATTGTCTTGATACTCCTCTTCTTGTCTGCCTATAATACATCTTCAATATATTGTCCTGTCATTTGGTGTCTCCATACTAACAATAGAAGACCCTGCTCCTCTACGCTCTCGGGCCATCCGTCGTCTAGTTCTGATGTCCAGTTTGGTCTTGGTTGATGAGAGGCTCCTGTTCCCGACCTTGATATGAGTATGGTGTTTCCTCCTCACATCCCTTTCAACCCGGGTTTATGATTTACGGGTGGCTGAACCAATTTGGTGTTTCTTTTCCTCTTGGCAATGTCTTGCGCCACAGGATATGTAGCGTGCCCTTTAATCCAGCCTACATGGCGATTTTGATGGGATAACCTTGTGATTTCACTGTCAAAACCAGGGTAGAAAATCGTTTTGATCCAAAAAAAACATGAAACCTACTTGTTTGGTGCAAAAATACTGCATCCATTTTGTACATACATTGACACGCATGCATGCATGCATCCATGCACATAGATCCATACATCCATGCATGCATACTTGCACATATGTAAAGTATACATGCTCAAATTTGCATGTACCTTACGGTGTATCCTATAGACACCCCTTATTGCAATCGGGCATTTTTTACACATGATCCCATGTCGAATCTCATACGTATACATTTTAGGGCTGCATTCCAGTGGCTTACAACTCACTAGTCTGGGGGTTTCCGTGGGTCCCTATCACTGGGGTGTACCACTTGCGATGCCGGGATGCCAGGCTCTACTCTGCTGCCTTCTACGCGGCCTACAGCGTCCTGAATGCGCCGTTTCCTGGAATTCAGTGTGTTTTTGGCCGTGAATGGGTGATGAGTCATGAACTATCAGAATGGTTATCTAAGCCATTCAAGATGAGTTAGGTGAAGTAACTATGAACATCTATGAACATTCGAAAAGTTGAGCATGGCGCCACTCGGGATTGAAGCAGCTGGTGAGTTGGGGACTTCTTGGATGAAGCAACTGAAAGTCAGAGCAGTTTTTCGGAAAGCCCTTGGCGAAACTGAAGATGGCTCTCTTCCAGATGGTGTTTCCCCGCTAAAATCCATGGGTTAAATCCACATCTCCCCTGAGAAGTTGTCAGAAAACCCTGACAGCCATGGGTCAAAAGCAGCCCTAGGCGTAGTTCAGGTTTTGGGGATGCCCTTTGCCAATCAAACATGGCAATGGGAAACCCCCTAAAAATGGAGGTTTCTAGCTGGGAAAATCATCTATAAACGGGGAATTTTCCAGCAAGCCATGGAGCTGATTACTGGAGGGTAAATCTCAACAATGTTATATTCATATGGAGATTTCCTCAAATGAGGGTACCCCCAAAATCATCCATGTTAGATGGGGATTTTCCATGAAATAAACCATCCAGCGAATTTGGGGTATCCCCATTTATGGAAACCCCTGGACAAGATATGAGGAAGCAACTGTTTGAGGATGGGAAGGGACTTCGTTCTGAATGTTTCCACCCGTTCCAAGTGTCGTGACGTTCAGGTTAAACGAGCGCATTTTTGCTGTCACGCGAGCAGAAGGCACGGGGGTTTACCCTGGTAAAACCCATCCCAAAATTGGGATTAAATTGGGCAACTACTTGCTGGTGCTTAGTAGGGCATGGGGGAACGGGATGATTGTTAATAGTTATTACATGTTATGCATCATTCCCCCGTTCCCTACTAAGCACCAGTAAGACTACAATTTTTGTTGGTCGTTGCTGGGTTGTAATCCAACTCCCATGTGACTCGACAATTGGGAATTATCCCCCTAAACCAACATGGAACCCTCAAAATCTGATTTCCAATGCGAAGTTCTCAGCTACCTTGGCGATCTCAGCTTTTAGCAAGGGACATCCCACTTGCGGTAGCCACTTACCAATCGGTTTTTTGGTGCGGAGAGGTACCTGTTCGTTTCTGATCTATGCCTCAGACTTCTTCGGTGGCGTGGCAGTGATCGACTTGCAGAGAGAAAGAAATTGCAAAATATCAACGTTGATTGATCAATAGGGTGTTCAGTGATGAATCATCATGGTTTTGGGTGATGTTTCATAAGTCGATGCGCAAGAAATCAATGGATATCCAGCGATCATTTGGATCATCCTTTTGGGTACCTGACAGAGGAGCATCTTATCCAATGCAACTGGTTGGTACCGGGCATAAGGGCCTGCTATGCCCACTTGCTGGTGAAGAGTGTGAAATTTCTCATTTCCTCTCTGACATCGAGATCTCATAAATCATAATAAATCCAAAAAACAAAAAAATCGTCCAAAAACTTTCCGCTTAGGATATGTGGTCACCGTGGGCCTGCTGATGTATCAGAGCTTTGGCCCCCTTGCAGGTGGGACCGAATCAACCATATGATACTTGGGTTTGGGTTTTTCTGGCGAAATTTTCCGATATCCATTTTATGGCACTGAATTACTAGACAACTTGGGGTGCTCCATCCAAAATGGGGGTTCAAAAAAAAGGTTATCAACGGGCAACAGCCTGGGTTTGAGCATGAAACCCGCTGAAGCTCTCGCCAACGCCCCTAATGAGCTGCAACGATGAGATTCTGAACGGGTAACACCACCGACAGACTGCCCTGATTGAATTCTACTGTGCTTCTAAACCCATCTAAACGCAGAGATATGGTCTTGTCCAGACATGGGGCATACCCGATTTATTACGATGGTCATACAGGATGGGGCCCCATAATTAGCTAAGTTGGTGTGTAACTATAAAAACAGTAGTGTATGATACTTATAAATATATTTAGATGGGGTTTTAAATCAACAAACATATCGTTTTGGGGCCCCATCCTGTAGAATTTAAAGTATTTTAGCCCATTAGTTGTGATTCGATTTGACAGAAGCCATCAGCAGTGGGAGCGGAGCGGAGGTACTTCAAACAATGTGGTCCTGGATCTCTTCGTCTCCATGCCACCTGAACCGTTGATCCCGGGAGTACCAAAGAATCCGCTTTGGGATGTATTGGGATGTATATTGCATTTATATCAACACAAATATATATATATAGACATACATACATATATATATAGACATACAAATATATATATATATATATATATGAACATATATTTACAAATATATATATATACAAATATATTTATATATACAAATATAATATATATGTGTGTGTGTGACACTAATATATGGTCAAGATCAGTGTCATATTTTTTCTAGGCCCATGATCCCATGAACCAAGGCTCTACGTCCTCACTGCTCTCATGACGTTGCTCGGAGATGTGTTCCACTGGATTCCAATGGCTGTGGAATATAGAATGAATGGCGACGCAGTGGAGAATCAATGGAATATGTGAGATGTGAGATTCACCATTTCTAAAATTAATCCACTTCAACTAGCAAAATGGTGAATCTATGAATCAATGATGAAATCTCCCGGCTATGTGATGCTGTGGGTTTTCCGCATTAATTTGCCATTTTTCGATCCAGATCGTTCCAGTACACGGCATCGATTTTGAGTAAAGCCATCCACCTTAGCACCGGCAACATTGGTGAAACGTCTTTCATCCGCAGATGAAGTGGTGTGGTGGGCATATACAAATACATATGCAAATACATATGTGTATAAGTTTATATGTTTATACCATGTACATATGTAAATATATATATATACAAATGTATATATGACCCAGCGTTTGGTGGTCCCCCCCTCCCCTCCGAGATGGTGATGGTCCCTATATGTATATGTAAGTAATTTAAATATATATATATTATATTTAAATAAATGTAAATATATATATACATGTGTGTGTACGTATGTAGTATGTGTATGTGCAAGTGTATACAGTATGCTTCTGGGGGGTTGTTGGGGGGGCAACCCCCCATACCATATGAGGGCCGTGAACACAAGACCTGGCAATTTCTTGACCAATCATTGATCTAGCCCTTAAAATTGCTACGAAAAGTTCCATCCTGGTGGCAGAAGATACCAGATATGATCACAGTGCGATCTAAATCACCCATGCCAGGCTGCTGGCAGGCGGCTCCATGTGCTACTTCTGGCGCGACAAGTACGGCCGTCGTCATCTGCACAATGCTGTCTGAGCGGCTTCACCCGTGTTTCAGCGCTCGCACTAGATTTGTGGATTCCAGGGGGATGGAATGAGATCAGAAAACTTTGAGAACTTTGTCCAGTGCTTTGTCCATTCGAAATTGGAAAAAAAATGTTCCCCATTGCACTGGCCACGACTTGGGTGCCATCTTGAGGAACAAAACCCTGCGAGTCGCTGAAAAAAGTGGAGCCGCCCGATCCCATAGATTCGGAGAGCGGAACTATGCTGAAATATCATTGGATATTTTTCTGCATCCTTAATTAATCTTGAACAAACCCAATATTGTCATAAGAACATGTTTTATATATATATAGAATTCAACTTCTGACATCGCAGACCAATACAATCGGAAGATGTCCTACTAAACACACCAAAAAAATGCGAAGGAATCTGTGGTTTTTGATGGCGGTTTTGTATCGAATTGTCTCCCAGAGCCACAGTAACCATTGGAGTCCCACTCTGTGGAATCCCAGCAGGTACCACATGAACAGCGCTTGGTTTGGGCCTTAGGTGACCACAAAAAATTGGCGTGTTTGATCGGAAAACAACATGCAAAAAGTGAGATAAATTCGGGGAACATACATACATGCATACAAACAGACAGGCAGACATACACAGAGATACACAGACACATACACATCCACATACATATAATTTACATATACATGTACATATACATATACATGTACATATACATGTACATACACACACGTATATATTGATCACAAATGCGTTCGGTTGTTCAATGGGATTCCTTGGGAAGATCTGAGGAGTTCCATTGGGTAATCGAATTTGTTGAAGAATTCTGCAACTTTCAATACATGATGGAACATACTCTTTTTTTATGGATGTTTACCATCTATAAAATATTACCCAGTAACATAACACATATTCATAAAATGATACCTCAGTAAATTAATATGGATTCGCTATATCACTTGGAATCATCATGGTAACCATGGTAGTGAAAGGGATCATTTTTCTGGGTTCCAGTGAACTATCCACTGTTAAGGAGCTGCTATCAGTTGCTTCCACCCATGGCCGCCATATGTGAACACATTCACCTGTTCGTGTTGTCAAAACAGATGGGATGCTTATGCCAGTGTACTAATCTCTTCTGGCTTGAAACCATCATTTGATGATGTAAAATGGGTTCTTCCCTTTCTGGCAAACTGTCCAAGTTTGGCGATGCCAAAAGAATCGGGGTTTTCGAGGGCCCCATCCATAGCGTTCAGTTGAGATATTTTTGTGGTTGAATTCTATGGTTTATGGTAGATATTAAACTATAGTATTCATGGGGCTTATAATAAACCATAGTTATATCTACCATAAACCATAGTTAACCATAGTATTCATGTGGTGAATCTAAACCAATATTCACATCACTGGGCACCATCCTGTCGTGGGACCCTTCCAGGCCAACTACCAGCTCGCCGATCTGGACGAGTTTCCCAGCATCGGAGGCACCAGCATCTCCTTTTTGTTTGGACAGGGAAACCCAAAGAGACGTCCAAAAAATCTATGCAGACACTATGTACATGAAGAATCATCTGTGTATGTGTATATATATATATCTCTACTGTATATACGACGTTTAGAGACAGATCTATAGATAGATATGAAAAAAGAATGTCCGATTGAGAAGCCTCTGAGCTCGAAAAAATAATGTGTATCCATTTCAAGTGCAGATGATGTTTCAAGATAGCCACCCCCGGTAACCACCATGGCTTGATGAATCCGTGAAGTTCACTTCGGATCATGGACAAGTGGGGATGGGTCAAAGTTACGAATGCTTGGTCATCTTCTAGCGTTACCACAGGATGAACTAACATAGATGTAGAAAAGCCATGACTTCCCAAGTGAAAGGATTTATGAATGCTGGGTTTTCCACATCTGCGCCCGATTTTCCTGCAGCAAATGTGGCTTCAAATCCAGAACGTCGAAGCGTTCCAAAACGGGTCGTTCTCGAAAGTGTCCTTGGCGAAAAACGTAGGATGGGTTGAAACCAATGGCAGCCCTTTTTTGGGCCAGAAAAGTCGTGGAAAGTCCGAAATCATCGGGGAAAATGATGGAAAAATCTACAGCAAACCACGGATCTGTGAGGTTTGTGGTTGTCCTGAGGAGCAGTGCCCCGTGAAGACCTGTTCTTTTTGCCACGTTTTCCTATCCAAGGTGCTATGGATATAACCATCCACATCACTGCTAGTGGTGCTGCATCAACCATTGCCCTCAGTCTAGATTTGCTGCCGCATCAGAGACTTGGAGAAAAATCATTGTTTGATGGTTTCTTAACACCATGCCAGTTGCATTGGAAGGATCTGCATCTGGCAAGGACTTTATTCATAATTTATGGTTTTGCATATGTTTGTTGCATTTCGGAAAGATGTTGCCATTTTTGGCATCAGCCCTGAGGATGACCGCGATTGCACATGTTTCATCCATCCTTCAGATGTGTAGCACCTTGGTCAAATCGTTGCGGAAATAATAACACCAACACATGCGGGAAAAAGACGGGATTCAACAGATGAGCCACTGATGGCTTGATTTTACCGGCTTGATATTACCCTCCTAATGGATTTTTTTGGAATCAGACATATCCTGTCCCTTCTCCAACCATTGCTATCAACGTTAGCTTTCCCAGATTCAATTCATGTTCCAACATTGAGGCTCTCAACTACACTACCCGCAGGATACTTCCCTGAAGATTAGGGGTTTAACAAGACCTGATAAGAGTTGGGCCAAGATCAATAACGAAAACGTACAAGCTCTTGGTTTTGCGAGTCAGCTTCGGGTTTTTTGAAGAAATCTGCGAGGCTTGTATGCTGAATCACGAGAATCTCAGACCGAAGCTCAACATCAGCTCAAGATGCATATGGAGAAGTTAAACTTCATCCAGCTACTCAGCAGCCTCAGCATCGAACTCGAATGGACTGTGAAGGCTGATCGATTTGAAATTTGTTTTTGTACCCAGTGGAAGGATTTGCCCTTCCCAAAAAAAAGGCCAGGTCTTTGCAAAACCTCCAGCCCCTCAGGAATCGCGTCCTACGACAGCAAAAGCAGAGGGCTGCTTCCAGAGGCGATTTCAATGGTAATCAATGGGCCAAAACACCCATGGATCAAAAAAAGAGCTGGGTTGATCGGTTTGTTTGCAATTGACATATGGTTGACACATATGTTCCACATCTCATGAGGATGTCCATCACAGTATCTTGATTCGCAATGTCCAAGGTCTCAAAATTCGGAGAATTTTGCATGACCTGACAAATTCAATATGAGAATTCCCTACCAATCCGACCAATCCATTGCGATGTCATTGCCAGGCCGAGTCATGAGACCCTTGCCGGCCATCCTATGTGCCTCAAACAAACTCGGGTAAGGGCTTTGTGGCAGTACATCATGTCTTGTGGAACTCAGCAAAATGTTGGCTTTGAAACAGAATTGGGGATTTCACTGTGTTCAACATCGGTGGTTTGACGAGAAATGGAAAGTTGAGCAACCGTTAAGCCAGCTATGTTGATTGTGTACAACTTGGAGGAATATCCCACTGATCTGTTGTTGCGCCTGGTCAGTCTTCATGTCGCTTATCCCATAAATTGCGTCACAGGTTAGCGGCTGAGGTACTGATCACCAGGACCTCACCCCTGCTGAGGTAGTGGCCACATGGGTCAGGATAGCGAAGATTGCGATAACTTCCATCCAGTGCCGCAGCGGCATCCGCGGAAAATGGTCTCTCAATAGCAAGTTCACCATCAATTACATGGGTAAACCATCAATAATCTATTGTGATATGTATATATATATGCATGTTATAATATAATATAATAAAATATCTATACATATCTATATATATATAGTTGATGAACAATAATTTTTCAAGGTTCCAACCATTCCAACCTGACGTTTCCAGCAATTGGGGATGAAAACATTATCCATGAGGAATTTACATGATGGTCCCATAGGCCACCACCAGCTGGTCACCAAGTTGCAGCCTGACCCTGTACTGCTTCATTTTGGGTGTATCAAAATGCTGAATCTCCAAGTCGGTTCCCACAATGATGGATTTCATAATCTTTCATACATAAAGGGTTGTACGTATGACTGGCCGTTGATCTAAGAGTAGATTGGGATCATAACCCCATTTCAAGGTACGACCCATCATGGATATAGGCTCTGAAATGGAAGTTCTCGATTGTTGGACATCGCTACAGGCCATGCCTTTTACTTCCCTTCAAGCACCATTTTTGCTGGTGATATGCTCTGTATTCTGAGTTCCTTCAAGATGTTCAATAGGTCCTGACTAGCATCAACCACTGTCTCTAGTGCACATTCACTGTCACTGTCTACATCCGCATGATTGCTACAAAATCATCTATTGCCGTTTGTGAATTGATCATATTTTATTAGTGTTTGATTAGTTGCCTCGTCTTGCTGGTGTGATCCAGGCGATCTAATGTAACATGCTCACCCTTCCCCGCAATTCCTTGTCGATGATATGATATCACCAAGTAATGCAGATGCCTACCTGCTATATCTCTATCCAATGGTAACAATAATGAAAATAACAACCATCATAATAATCGTCGTCGTCGTCGTTATCATCATCATCATGATGAATTGTACCATGTACATGGGACTTAGCACCAGCTTCATCATGAAAATCCCTGTGCATATTGACCTTTTTGCGGCGGTGAAACCACACGACGACATCAGCTCCTGATAACCTCCAAGAATCTCCAGCAGCGATGAAGATTATCCCTATTCTGACTATTCTGACTACTCTGGTTTCGGGTATGGTACCGGCCTGGCCTCAACCGCAAGGCAAGCGAGGTAGACCAAATGGACTCAGACGAGGATTCACCGGGATCACGGTGTCAAAAGGTGTTCCTTTTTGGCACAGCTTTTAGAGCCCCATAGCCACATACAGATCGTGATTGTGTTTGATCATGTTTGATGGTGATTGTGGTGGTAGATGGTGATGGCAGTGATGGCAGTGATAGCAGTGATGGCAGTGATGGCAGTGACAATGGCGATGTATGGGATGTAGCATCGGCAACAAAAAATGTATATAACACATTGTTGATGATGTTAAAAGTAGGTAGTGAAGTGCTACGATGCAACAGAGGACCGCTTGCTGGGGAAATGAACCAAATCTATCTCCAATGTTCCGGGCTGTTCCAGTCTGCAGATTGATGTTGCGTGTTTTTGCAAAACGCCTGCAACAAGTCACGGCTGCAACTCGTGATTCTGCTCAGACCATCCTGGTCACAAAAGTCCTGTGTGATGTTTCAACCGATGACTTTTAGGTACTGCACTTGGTTTCTCGGCCTCCTAAGTAGATTGTATCCGTGGTTGTGATTGGACTATACCGATTTTGTCTCACTAGATCAACCAGAAACATCTATAAACCCGAATTCGTAGGCGCTTCAGCTGCTTCGGCGGTGCAGGAGCAGGAGCTGGATTTGGAGGAAAGATCACCTCCACGTCCCTGTGTCAGAGAACTCCCACGACCACCAGTTCCACCTGGATCTCCAGCACTGCCTCTGAGCGAAGAGCAGGTGCCAGTGCCCAGGGAAAATGTAGGAAAATGTAGGAAAAGTCCGGGTATTTCTGGGTCATCTTCAAGTCATCTTCAAGTTTATTTCTTGGTTCATTTTGCCACAGAAGTTTCGGAAATCGCCAGGAAGGTGAGGTGCCAGAGGTGCCAGAGGTGCCGAAGGAAGCAGCAGAGGAAAGTACAAAATCTCCGGAACGCAGCAGATCTTCGAAACCAGAGGCCTGGGTTTCGATGTTTTTACCTCTGTAATTCATCCGGAAAAGCTCAAAGCTGTGGGAAAATTGATCTTTTAAGAGAAATCAGAATTTGTTGTTGATCGATTCATATTATAGATATAAAATACACTCATATAATAACAACAATCATCATCAGAGTAATAATGATAATGATCATCAAAAGAGTAATAATCATCTTCATCGTCATCATCATCATCAACAACATCTGCATCTATATCTATTATCCCATGATATAAAACTAACAATAATGATAAGTGTTTCCTGACTTCTAGTCGGCCAGGTCTCCAGCGAAAGTCTGTTGGAACTCGGGAAGGCAGATGAAAATTGCATATCTTTGCCAGCAAGAAGGAGCACGGCAAATCATCCATTTAAATAAGATTTTGAATTATAAACCATCCAGCTATTGGGGTACCCCCATGACTTAGGAAACCTCGCTATATAGACATATTTGGGAGGAGAGTTCTTCTCGCTGGTTTTTCAATCATGGCTTTCGGGATTCCATTGTCCGGTTTTTCCTCCAAGCCAAGGCATGAAACTGCAGATGTTTCCCCAATTTTGGGACGTGAAATTGATCCCATTCTTCAACGCGTGGAACTCCAGGACTGTGACACCGGAGATACCTGTTTCAGAAGTGAAGGATCTTGGCGAGAAGAAGTATTCGATGCTTCCCAGCACCTTGGTGATGTGGAGGATTCCTCAGGATGGGATTGTTCAGCATTTTATGGATATCCATGGATTTCACCATTCATAACCATTAACAATGAACATTAACCACTATTAATCACCATTAATGGGAAACTGATTTGGTAGATATCCATGGGGATTTTGTTGACGGATCATCCCAATCAAGGAAAATTGCTGGGTGAATGGGTAGGGTTTACCACACCAGGTTCCCTCAACGGAACCTGGGATATCATGGGGATAAAATGAGGATATACCGAGAAAAAAAACTGAATATGTGACAAGATTGGAGATCTTGTGACTTTTCAAGCCTCAAATTGAGAATCTAAACTGATGGTAATATTGGCGCTATCATGGGAATACCATGGGATATTGGATGTGGATAGACAGGATGACCATGTAATTGGGAATATCAGGGGGATATAACCATGTCTACAGAAACCACTGTTTTGGGGCCAAAGCTCACACCCAAAGGATGGCATCTGGACCAGGATGATCCCTGGTTACCTCTGCAATTGGGTTGGTTCCGGATCTACCTTGCTCTACACGTGTCGAGTGATCAAGAATTGGGCTTGGTAAGGTCACTATGATCACTATCTCGGTTTCAAGTCCGATCTCTTAGAAGCATCCGAGGTCAGCAGCCACTCCCGACTCTCAAAGGTCATCCCCAACTGAGCGCCGCAGCAGCCGTCCATCGCCGTCGGCAGCGCAGCCTGAAACTTGGTGGGGGGGCCATCAGGATGCAGATCTGATGGAATCGTTGAAAAAAACATTGGAAAAGAACGGCCTCACAGCCTGACAATCCTGCGACTTCAGCCTTTGAGTTCTATTGGTGAAATGAATAAGGCTCGCACTGTGACTTTTTAGTCGAGGGGTTGAGGTGTGGAAACACCGACCTAAACTGAGTCCTTTGCAACCTGCATTTTTGAGCCATGGCCACTCTCAGAACGCTTCCATCAGAACTGGGCCAGCATCTTGACACCATACTTTTTAAAATCTGTGACAAAGCATTTGTCTTCACGACTTTGGCGCCTTTGCGCGTGCCGATGTACGGAAGCAGAAGGCACCACACACAGTGGAATGCAACAACGCCATAAAAAGTTATTTTGGTTGATCCTGGAAGTAACGAAGCCAGTTTGCATCAATACATGTTAATACCTTTGAAATATATTTTCTCACCCAAAATTAAATTGGTTTTCACATCTTGGACGACCATTCTGGTAATTTTTTGGGATGTGAATAACCATGCACACCCATCCCCAGCCAGTGGAAACCAAAAACTACAGGCTTGTCTGAAATAAATCTGTCTAGACACATCGGCACAGTTGGAGCAACAACTTCTGCGGGAGTTGTTGCGGACTCATCCCAATCTCCAAGAGAGATAATCGTCTTCCTGGGAAAATGGATCAACTCTCCATGAACTGCACCATCGAACATTTTTATGGGCATTCCCAGAAGCCCTGTACCGTCAGCAAAACTCATTGTAGACATTACCCAAGAAATCCCAAGAATCAGTCAATCACCATTTTTTCGCACTTGGTGGAGCTCACTCACCAACCCATTGGCGGAGTAACTTATCGTTTTTCCGTGAAAAATGACAATGTCACGACCATGTTTTAAGTTGTTTCTGTTGGTTTCAGCATCATTGGGCGTAACTGCAGCGACCTCAGAGTGACGACTCGACCCGGGAATTCCTGTGTAGCGATGTTTTGACATCGCGATGTTTTGACATCGTTTCCCTTTTGTTCTCTTTTGTTTGTCGATGCTCCTGTGGCACAAAGTTCAGTTGGACAAGCTCAATCTGTTCAGGGCAGAACAGAGTAGGCAAAGCTCGAAGGAAAAAACCATGGTATGGATGGAATTGAAGTTGTAAATCCGGTGGTGGGAATGTCTCTGACACTAAGACCAGCAATGGGATAGTCGGGTAGCCTTTGCGGTAATCGCTGTAAGAAGTCTAATCGGATGGGAATGGCCAGGTGGCACATGATACCACCCGATACTGACACTTGCATGCGCATGCATGTATATCTGTTCTATGTAAATAACTGAATCAAAAAGATCATCAGGCATCTACAGACAAGAAGTGAAGGGAAAGGTGCCGTGATCGATTTTCACTGATCTGCACTGCCTGGTACTCTCCAGTTTCCTCAGTTTCCGCACAGCCCCTTGGGCAGAAAGTTTGAATGAAGTGGATCCACCAGACAGCAGGTCTGACAGTGGCAAACTGCCAAACGGGATGTCAGACTTTGGCTGGCTTAGACAGGTTTAGACAGGTTTAGACAGGTTTACAAGACTTTATGGCCGCATCCCATGTTTTCAGTGATTTCAATGAAGTGTCCATGATCCCTTGCAGGCCCCTTTTGGGTCAGGCCTGGTTGTTACGTGCTGAATCTTGGGCATTTTGTCCATTTCCGCAGAGCTGAGATGTTGGGATACCTACGATGTTTTTCACCGCTTGTCTCGCGCACCGCAGCCAGATGGATTAAGCGATTTACCCATTGTTTTTGCTGTTTTTCCATGGGATCTTTTACGGTCACTCAATATCTGTAAGCATTCCGGGAATGCCACCATACGGAAATGGAACTTGTGGAGACATCAGGCAATTGCAGCAAAACCAACAGTGACGGACCTGTTTGCAAAAGCGAGTCTACAGAATCAGCTTGACCCTTCAGCCATATTCCTGTTTTGTGTATACCAAGGTAGCAATATTCTGATGCAAATGTTCAATCATGCAAAAGAGGTGGTCCGAAATCAGCTCGCGGTGCAGCTTGAGACATGTACCAAAAGTTGGTTGGCGGTTTCAAGTCTGTTGTATCTGAAACCTACAATTTGGATGATTTCCCAAATCACTTTCAATGACTTTCATCTTTTTGGGAAGAGTGGCTTGAAACCACCGGAATCACTCCAAAGTCTTTAAATGCAGGAGTCTTTACTGGTGAGTCACGCTGGAGTCACGCCAGCGATGCCTCTCGAGCTTCGCAATTTCTTTAAAAATGTTTCGAAGCTATCCGAAGCTATCGGATTTCTCGATTTGCATTTTGGGTGACGGCTCAACTTGGGGGCACCATGTTTCAACAATTCAACAAGCTGTGAGCGCTGAGTGCCAAGGTTTGGAACGTTGCAAATCTGATGCTGCATGCCTCTTGAAACAAAGTTGACGCAACAATATCCAACATGCGTCAAGTACGGGTTGCGAGCTCCAGTTCTGCTGATGAGTTTTCCGTATCCCAGAATTTTTCCTGTAGCTTCCAATGCTCGCAACTCCTGCACACCAGTCGTTCTTGCGGGTCTTGCTTTATGCAGCCGTATTGCCGTGTTTATCTCCGCGTCGCTGCGTCTTGCGAAAGATCTCCGGACGACTCAGAAATCGCGTGACTGGCAGCGTTTTTTGTGCGGAACCCGGGAGCAAGGTGATAAATTGTGTTGGTTCTACATGTTGATTCTTTCCATGATTGATCTCAAATCTCCCATGAGTCACGGAGGAAGAACCCATCAAAATGATGTTCTATTGGCACAGTGGTTAATAATGTACGGGAAGCGGAGTCCAGGATCGCCACATCCAGACTCCAAGTTCATGGTATTTGGGGGTCTCCGATTTCAAACAGTGATCTTCCCAAAAAAATATCTTAAACCACATTTGCTGATGAAACATTCCTGTGTTTGTTGTTCACGCCTCAAGTTTTGGTCGATAAGAGCTCAGTGTTTCTTGGTCGAACCCCAAATCATTTTTGGTAAAGTTCCCCTATTAATAAATATCTCGCGTGTTTTGATTGAATTCCATTCATGTCGTTTCGGACGAAGCTCCCCGTTTTGTTTGTTCCTCCCCGTTTTGTTCCAAAATTCCAATACTTTGTAAAGCACAAATTCTTCTGGTTGGTTTAAATGTCATTAGACGTCCATTTTTTGGCTAGTGAAATCACCCAAATTGTTCCCGAAATTTGCCGCCGGAGAGGTCTGGCAGGAGAGCGAACAGAGCGGCGCCGCCAGGCTGTGGTCAAGAGCAAAATGATTCGGAAAATGGTGGGAAAATATGACAGAAATTTCAGAGAGATCGTTTGAAAGTGATGGGGTGAACGCTAGTGTGGGCGTTAGGAAGGTAATTTATAAATAGTTTGACATGGGTTGGTGGTAGAAATAAGATGGAGAAATGATGGCACCTGCAATATTCCAGGAGATGTGATTAGCCATGCATTGTTTTGGAGGTGGATTTATCATTAGAACAAGTACTGAAGACTTTTGGGTAGGCCACAGTAAACCTGCGTTTGATGACTACAGTTTTCAAGTGGAAGGTGCAATTCGATATTGACCACAAGTGTATCACAATGTCTTGCCGGGATTTTTGATCGAGGCGCCCACTGTGCCTCGGGGAAGTCTGCGGCCCTCTACACGCAATGACGAGAAACGCTTTCGCAAGGCAGATTTCATGGGTGGATCAATAGCTCAATGGCGGTCTACCCTGCTTGTCTTTGAGCGTCACAAGCCATGGTTTCAGTATGTTTCAACATGTTTCAAGGTTGAAATATCATAGATTTTTCCTCAAATCTAACATGGAACCTGGAAGCTGATCCTTCAAACCATAGTTACCACAAGCTAGTGAAAAGAAGGGGTTCCCTCGCAGTTCTTCTGGACCAAGGGTTTTAGTGCTCGTTGACGGTGGTTTCGAATCTACATGGAGCAGATTTGTTTGTTTTTCAAAGGACATCGAAAAATGGACCATTCCCATGAACCATTCACCATGTTGGGAGCTTCTTGTCGGATGACCGGTTCCTACTTCAGGGACCCACAGCAGAATTTCCCGTTTTTGGATGGTTTTAGAACCATGTTTGGGAGGGCTGCATATGGCTTACATCAAGGCATATCACACATGCTGATAAAATCCCTGTATCTCCTCCTTAAATCTCACCTTTGTGTTCATAAAGACCCCTTTTTTTTGAGCCCTTCAATTTTCCGATACTTTCGATTTTATACATTTGACCCCCCATGTCTTGCCATTTCTCAGGCGGCCCGGCAAGAAGCTGAGCTTCAGGACAGTTGACACTGTTGCATCCATTGGGCGTGCGCCACAAATGGAGGATTTGAAGCAAGAAAAATGTGGATGCAACCAGTCCATTCAGTCCATTTTCGGGAATATAACAAGCACAATGAGGAGTTCCCCACCCACCAACACATTTCACCAGACATTTCACCAGACAAAGGCTCTGATCAACAAAACGGGACCTTTGACACACGCAACTTGCAGGCTATCTATGTTCGACCTCCAAGTTTTGCAGCCCCAAGAATTGAAACCATCCCGGGCATTCCCATTTTCCAGCGAATCCAGGAAGAGAAGATGGAACTTCCTGAAACCGAAGGTGAGGACCTGAGAATCCAGAGGTTTTTGTGTGCAAAGAAAGTCATGGAAAGTCATGACAGTCATGAAGCACCCAACAGAAACAGCTGGGAGTGCCACTGCCACAAGCCCAGGCCACACTGACACTGAAGTCTGGGAAGACATTCATGAGGCAACCGTTAACATGTGTCGTCGATGGGAACGAGTTTGTGGGGCTGTCAATATGGCTTTGTCTGAAAATGGAAGATATCCCCAAATGACCAATAATTGAATGGGGAAGATGACGACTAACCAATGGATGAAATGGGCACCGTATTTCCAGACAAACTCATATGGGCTTTTGTTCACTGTGTGTTGGTGGTTGCTTACTGCCGGCTGACTGAGTGTTGACCATTGTTGAATGTCAATTAACAGCAAGCAACAGCAGCATGTTCTTCACAGTATGTTGACCATGAAAATGAACAGAGTATTGTTCACAGTATGTTGACGCTCGTCTGTTGCATTACAGTATTTTTCAGCCATTGTTCTAAAGGCTTCCTGCCACCGGTGCAATCTGCCTGTGTTGTACCGATTCCTTGGCTACCCACATTGACCAATGATGGGCAGCCCGCCAAGTCAGTCGATTGGTTGGTGTTCCTCAGCATGTCGTAGGTTTTACGTTGATTCTATCCGTTGTCTTGTCGCAGTTCATGGGTTAAAAACCGATGTGAATTGCAAGGCAGTGCTCTTTGAAATGTTCGACGATGCAAAGGCACATCCAGGGGAACAGGATGTGGCGGAGATGAAATTTGGATAAGATTTTGGCCCAGGAAGTTTGAGATCTGTGACCAAAATGAAGCTTATGAAGCTTTGCGAGTACGATGGGTGTGAGTTCACCATGGTTGAACTATCGAGAACTCCAATTATCAATGGTTGGCAGTCGGATAAGTCTTCAAGTTGGCCCATGCCCATGGTGAAAACCATATCGCACAGTCAGCCTGGAAAAATATAAGCTGAATGACTGCAGCCTGATGTGAAGATCTTCATCGAATCCAGAGAAAGGTAGCCAGGATGTTACTGAAATTTTACCATCGAATCATCGACACTGAAATCATTGAAGCAGATGTTTCAATATGTTGATCCCAATCCCCGTCGTATCACGCGTCGTCCTGAGGCAGTCGAGGAGGCATTGCTGCGCTTCGCTGGCAGCTCACACCAGGCACTTTGGGGGGAGATGGTTTTGTGTCTGGCATGGAAGTAGTGACTGTGGTCTTTGGTCCCAACAATCAAGCGTACCACATCCATATTCCTTTTTGGGATCTTTTTTGTTTCTTATTTATACAGAGCTGCTTCTTGTTCCACGAAGGTCATAAACTACAGCGAATCAGCCACCGTGCATCCAAGTCTCCTTTGTATTGCCTTTGTATTGAGCTTGAGGGGTTGGGGGATCCATCTCACCGCTGTGAGATGCTGATGTTGTGAGATGCACAGGCTGCACGTGCGCTGGAAGCTCTTCTGGCCAGACCAGATACCAAGACGGTGGAAGGTCATCCAGGGGATGGGACACGGATGTGCCATGGTTTGACAAGTTCCCCATCCCCAGTTTCCAGTAGATCTACAAAGCGCAGGCTTGTCAGCATCACGAGACACTGGTGAGAACCTTCCAAATATGTCCCTTCAAACATGTTGAAACAGATTCACCAGAAGTTGATTCAGATTTTTTCACGCACAGGAGAAGATGATTTGGATTACGATTGCGCCGACCAGGAGGTTTGGAGTGAGCATCGTCCCGTTTGCGGTTTCAATTTGCATTTTGGTGCTGACAAGTTTCACACTCCATTCTGAGTTGTGTAGTGTCATGGTGTAATCTTAGTCTATGAATCAAGGAATATCGTATGATTCTATTCCAGCTGAATTTGCGCCATTTGTTCAGGCTGAATCTGCCAATTTGTTTTGCTGGGCTCCCTCTGTTCTTGCTCCTTATAAACCCCTGTGCCTTTGTATCCAGTTTGCTCAGTGTATTTAAAATCAGCCATGCATTTTCCGCTGCAGAATGCTGCAGGCTGGGGACGGATGGGAGGCTGAGATTGAAGCTGGAGATGAGGTGTGGCCAGTGACTTGCCCGGAAGTGACCAGCTTGGAGCTGAATCCAGATCCAACTTGTTGAGCTCCGCTTTCCACGGGACCTTTGCGCAGGAAATGTGGTGCGCCTTTTGCGGTGAAGCCATTGATGAAGCCGACGAGAACGCCGGCATAGCAGAGGATGTCCGGATGGGGTCAATGGGTGACCAGTGGATGGCAGTGACCAGTGGATGGGGTGAAAACGATGCAAAAAACGTGTTGGTTGGTGTTAGAAAAACCTGATGGGGCACCCGTTGCAGCAAGAATTCCTTGGACCTACAAACTTGTTAACTTGTTGCAAATCCGCCAGGACGGACAGCTGTACTGTTCCTGGTGTTGGGCACTCAGTGTATCTCCACGGAAATGGGCCCAAGGCTGTAGAACCAGATATTTGACAGATTGCTTAGAGCTGCAGATGGATGTACTACCAGTAGTACCGCTCAAGGCGGTTTTCGGAAATTTCAAAAATAGGAAACCTATAGGAGAAGGTTGGTTGTTGTGAATCAGGGACGGCAGATCGAAGCCACTGATGGACCGAAAGGTGCTTGAGGTCTCCTCTCTTTCTCTCTCTTTCTCTGACTATCTACCCACCTACCCACCTACCTACCTATCTATCTATCTATCTATGTATCTA